CAATTACAGTAATCTGTACAATACCACTAAGAATCTGCAGATCTAGATGGGGTGCCAGCATAAAAAAAGAACTAGAAAATGGTAGTTTTTTCATGGATTCTGACTTGCAAATAGTGCAAGTTCTGAGGACTTGGTGAACTTTACCCTTTTTCCAAGGGTAGTCCCTCTTTTCTTACACACATAAATGTCAGCATGTGATTTACTTGGAAACATTCAGTTCCCTTTCATTACTACCATTTTCCAAAACTTGTTAACTGAATGGCTTAACAAAGATTCATCGATGTCATTGTAATCATTATAATGAGCACAATCATCCAAAAATAATAATATTGATATCTTTAAAATATCCAAAATGAAGGTTATGAAGCGAGACCCAAACACTTTGTGTCACTGCCAATAACTATAAAGACCCCATATACTTATTACTGCCTGGAAAGGACAAATCAGAAAATATTGGGTTATCAAACAACTGAGCAAAAAACAGTTAAGAAACTGTGTTTTACAAAAATTATTGGACTCAGTTCGATATTATACAGGAAACTTCAGCATGGTGTGTCGGAATATTTGTACATGTCTGCTCTCCATGCGATCAAATGCTGAGTCTGACACTTTAGATAGGTCGAACAAATATTCATTCATCCTCAGGCTTAAGTTGCTTGATCTGACAATGCCACTAGTGGGGAGGACTGGAATCATAGAGGGAGAACGAAATGGTACATCAAAGCAGAGAGTATGCTTTTTTTATGCAGTCATAGAAGCTCTAAGCTGTAAGTCTGATAGAAATTGGTTCAGATCACCTATCAAATGTCTCCATATAAAAAGAAATGAGTAAATTACACTCACAGTACATAAACCTGTGAGGTGGGTACATAAACCTGTGAGGTGGGTGCAACTTAGTGCAACAACTTGCAGAACAAACAAATAGTGTAACAACTTCCATGGTGCATGTGGACCAAGACCAAAATGGTGCACAGTGGTTACACAGATCATTTTTGCACTCATTGGGCTGTCCCATCAGCAAGCATGGATGATTTTGCCCTTTAATGGCTAGCTTGAAGCCAAAAAAAAAACAAAGTTACATGTGTAATTTATGTGAAATTTTAGTATTTAAGTTTTGGATCATCATTTGAGGTATGCAAAATTTGAGTGGTGCGTACATGCCTAGCTATAAGATTCATCTGCTCTTTGTGAGACAAATTCATTAACCTCTCTTTGGCTAGGACGAATTCTCACCCTTGCACCACCATGTATGATCAGTCATTATCCCCCTACCTAGATAAATCAATTCTCACTCTTTATTCTGATCGATAATTCCTCGGGACCAAACGAGTTGAACCCGTTTGTGATTAAGCAACTTCAATATGGTGTGTGATTTTAATGTCACCATAAAGCATGCACATGTTGGTTGTTTGTGCCACAAAAGAGTTTAAAGAGAGGTCTGCTTAAAAATCAGTTTGAAAGAGGCAGCATTATGCAGGGAACAGTTTATTGCTAAAATCCGAGATCTCGATTACTACCTGCTAGCGTACATGGAGACGTAATCAGCATGAAAATGATTTATTAGCCAACATAAAAATTATCTGATTAGCCACATGAGCTATTTTGGTTTTGGTTCGCACGCGCCATGCAACTTGTTAACAGGCTTGCTCAATTTGCAAGATTTTGTACCGAGTTGCACCCACCTTACAATTGACTCAAAAGAAATCTACAGGTAATAACTGCTAACCCCCACTCCTCTGTCTTTCTTTTCCCTCTTCTCATCCACATGGATTTCACCAGGAGAGTTGTTTCCTCAATGTAACAGTAATGATGTATTCCAACATAAAAGTTTTGCATCTTCATTCCTATTTTTGTGCTGAATACAGTTACTAGCATCGGTTGGTATGAAACACCTGGCGATCACCAATTGTCTATTGATTCCCTCCCATATTCAGTGCTATTTTATAAAATCAACAGTCCCAGCCGGCGTGATCCGTATCGGCAGTTCGGTACTTGTATTGTGCATGTTTGCAACATCACCCTAGTCATATTTTGGAGGGTACAGGTTAACTGACCAAATGGGCCAACAAACAAGTTTCATACCAATTAGACTATCAAATATTAGTAAATTAGATTATCCAAATTACCTGCCATACAGAATTTTAACTACCAAGTAGCTAAATAGAAGCGAGAAAAAAATTGTTAGCCAATTACTTGAGCTCGAGTGCAGTGAGATGTTACAGTGGTGCATGCCCGCCATTCCAATCTCGGCGGCTGACAACTTCCGGCGCGGTGAAGAGGCTCAGGGACAGTAGAAACTAACCTTGGGTGAGCTTGGCGGTGAGGTCCTGGACCTTGGCGTCCGCCTCGGCGTAGGCGACATTGACGTGCTCGAGGGCGGCCTCGGTGGCCTTCTGCGTCTGCTTGTGCTCCTCCACCTCCTTCCTCAGCCTCTCCACCTGCTCCTTCAACCCCTTCACGAGCTCCGACTCCGCCGCCCCACTCCCACCCTCGGCGGCCGCGATCTGGGACTTGAGGTAGTCGTTCTGGAAGCCGAGCTCCATCACCACCCGCTCCAGCTCCTCGCGGCTCCGCTCCCCGCCCGCGGCGCGATCGCCTCCTCCTCCCTCTGCCGCCGCCGCATCTTGTTCAACCGGCGCAGCTGACTCCTGGCGTGCCGCCTCCGCCTGCTCTTCCTCTACGGGGGGCGGAGGCTGCTCGTCGACCGGCACCGCAGCCTCCGCTTCCTGGTATGGCGGCGGCGGCGTGGGGTTCTCGTCGGGATCCATCACGGCGAGGCGGATCCGAATCTTGGTCCCGTGGGAGGGATCGGGGGATGCGGGGTTGGATCGGATCGGGTGCGGGTGAGGAGTGGCGGGGGTTTGCGAGGGGAGCAGAGGCCGGATCCTCCACTCCAATGGCTGGCTGGCTCAGGCAGCGGCGGAGGCGGAGGAGCGGGTTCGCCGTCGGCCGTCGGCCGTCGGTGGGCGGGCGAGGAAGGGAAGGAGGGGGGACGACACACAGCAGCACAGGCGGACAAGGAAGCGATTCTCGCTTTCGGGTAAGGAAGGCTGTGGCTGACGGGTGGGACCGGGGACCACATGGCAGTGGAACAGAGGAGTACAGTAGTAGTACAGTACAAGCCAAGCGTCGGATCGAGGGGGGATCCGGGTGAATCCCGAGGTCAGTTTTGCTTTTAAAACTTGCGGGTAAAATTGGTGGAAACGGTTGACCTCGTTCGATGGCTACTACAGTCGTCGTCCTCTACTCTTCACCGCTCACTTTGTTAAATAAAAAATAACTTTATATTAGAATTATTAAATTTATTGTATTAGAATGTGTCACATTTATTTACTACTACCTCCATATTTTAATGTATGACGTCGTTGACTTTTTGTCCAACGTTTGACCATTCGTCTTATTAAAAAAAATATATAATTATTATTTATTTTATTGTGGCTTGATTCGTCATCAAATGTTCTTTAAACATGGCATAAATATTTTTATATTTGTACACAAAAATTGAATAAAATAAATGGTCAAACGTTGGTCAGAAAGTTAATGGCGTCATACATTAAAATACGGAAGGAGTAGGTTATCATTTCTTGATCGAAAGGAGTTCAGTTTGCATTACAAAGTTTCTTTGGACAGTGCCAACTCACCGACGCACAACTCCATACTCATTTATCTTCTTTGGGCTAGCCACGCTCTCTCTTATCCATGGAGCTTGTGCTAGATCCAGCAGTGCCACTCCCGAGCCCATGCTCGATTGGGATATCTAACCTATGTGCAAGTTTTTTTTTTCTATCCAAGCTGTTTTTTTTTTTTTTTTGAGAATTTTTCTACCCAAGCTGTTGTGTTGAGCGACCTTGAAAGATCGGAGACAGAATTGCCATAGTCAATATTTGATCGATTTATGAAGATGTTTTACCGCCACATAATATCCATGGAAATTTATCAGTCGGTGCAGTGGATTCGAGTTAAGGGGAAAAATTCATTCTTTTAAAAAAAATTGAAAAGAATCAAACAGGTCTCAAAATCGGGTCCTTATACCCCTTGCGGAGAACAGGGATAAAAGCCTTAAATTAACAGGCACACAATAAATTTTACACTGCTACTATTTTCCGTGACCACTATTTTATTCAGAATCATTCCAACCAACATTATCTTCTTACACAAATAACAATATCTTCGAAAAATTGCACAGTATACTAAAGAAAAACATACAGATTATTATACACAAGTTAAAAGGTCGATTCAAGATGCTACGAGTTCTTTTTTTTTCTCATTTATTATGAGAAAATGAATCGTATGGAACATAAATTCCTGAGCTGAGGTCGAGCTAAGGCATCATGGTCCACGGGGTTGTGGAGACATTCGGAATTCAGAAATTACAGACAGTAATACATGGATTATGAAATATGATCAAACAAGAATGTGAGATCTAAAGTACCTATTAATGTCTGATCACTTCCGCCAGTACAAATCAGAAATAAACATTGGTCGGTCAGGAATTCCCATGAGGCCTCTTTAGCACTTACCATCAGGGGCGGATCCAACGTGGGTGCAGGGGGCACTTGAGTCCTCCCTACACCCACAAGACCCATGGATACCCCGGAGCACCCCCTTCGATTTTTCACCATGAATGATAAATTAAATGTCTCTAAATGGTTAGAGGTTGAAGAAACTGTGTAATCGAGCCTCCCCAATTTTTTTTTGTTCCTGGATCTGCCCCTGCTTACCATCAATCAAACTGACCAACTCCATGCTTATATGCATAATCAAAACCTCCTCCCAAACCTTATCAAAAATAAATAACTCCAGAAAACCTAGCGGTTACAAGCGGTAGATAAAGGCACATCTTGAGTATAACGTTGAACCTCATTATAAACTTTTATGGGAGAAATCCAATGAGATTAACACAAGGAAAGCAATCATTTTAATGAAGGATGTTTGAGTTAAATGGTTCTCTTCCATGTTTCACTCGACAGAACTAAAACCATTCGTACAAGACAATCTGATCAAGCCCAAAAGAATGTTTATGTACCTTGAATGTCAATAAAATCTGTGAACATTAACAAAGGTAAATAAGAAATATGTACCTCCATGTGTATTCTGTGTGCAAATACAAAACTTTTTTACAGTTAGCAGGAACATATAAGATATGTAAAAAGCATCAGCTGGTGCTTTTGCCAAATCCTCAAATCTTGAAGATTGGCTCCATCACAAAGGGTAGTTATTAACCTCAGCAATCAAATCAATGACACAAATCTAATGAAATTGAATATGCCTCTCCACAAAAAGAAAACAGATCCAAGCCGATCAAAATAGGTAACTGGATCAGCACTAGCATGGATTATTTTTCTCACCGATATTTTCCACTTTGCACTTTGCCTATGCTGCTCTCCAGCCTCTGTATACTTGCAGCAACACGTCCAATGTTTGGCTTTCTATCAATGTCGTTTAGGTCGTCGCCGCTGGTAACACTTTCGGTATTAGTCTGTACATCAGTATCCTTGATATCATTGTTAGCAACAATTCCAGTGTTTGCCTTCATAATATTTCTGGCATCACTGTTGTCAAAACTTCCAGTGCTGGTCTTTGCACTAATACTCTTGGCATCACTGTTCTCAAAACTTCCAGTGCTGGGCTTTGCACTTATACTCTTGGAATCGACATTGGCAGCACTTACAGTGCCTGGTTTCAAATCTGAGTGCTTGACACCACCATCAACAATGTTTCCAGTGTTGTGCTTCACATCAAAATTCCTCAAATAAGTGTTAACAACGCTTCGAATGTTATGCTTCACATCAGCGGTCTTGGCATCTCTGTTGGCAATGCCATCAATGTTGCTCCTTCCGTCACCAATCTTACTATCCTGGCTGGTGATGCTGCTGGTGCTGGGTTTTGCATCAATAGTTTTGGCATCTTTACTGGCAACGCTTCCAATGTTGCTCTTGGTGTCACTACTACTGTCACCTCTGCTGGTTATGCTGCCAATGTTGGGTTTTACATCAACTGTTTCAGCATTTCTGTTCACGAAGCTTCCAATACTGGGCTTTATAACAGTGTTTTTGGAATCCTTGTTAGTGATGCTCCCAGTATTAGAATTTACATCATCAATTTTGGAATTTCTATTGCCAACACTTGCAGTATTGGGTTGTACATTAGAATTCTCAGAATTACTGTTGATGATGCTTTTTTTGCTAGTATTGCACTTTGCATCAGCTCTCTCGGCATAACTGTCAGGCTTGTCTCCAATGTTGCGTGTTACATCAATGCTCTTAGAATCACTGCTGGCAGTCGTTCCAGGGCTGCATGTAACACTAGCATTTTTGACATCACTAATGTTGAGAGTCCCATAGTTCTTGCCATCACTATATTGAAGCCATTTGTGTTGTAGGCACTGTGCAGCTGTTGGACGCTTCTCTGGGGCAAAATCAAACAAAGGGCAAAGAAACTCGGCAAATTCCCGTGCATCGGATTCAGAAATTTTGTATTTGTCAACTAGGACACGTTCAATAGATGAGAACTTCAATCTTCTTATCCGCTTCAGATCTCCATGACGGTCAAAATACTCCTTTGATTTTGTTCCCATGGTAGCAATCTGAGCTCATTGCAAAAGATTACACTGGTCAGATCCACGGTCCTAACAAAAAAAGTTTGACCAGCAAAAAGATATGTATACCTTTTTTGGTATCTTCCCAAGGATTTCCATCATCAAAGCCAAGTGATCCTGAAAAAACAGACCTTTAGTCCTTAATTGGAAGGCAAATTATTGTAAAATAGATGGTTCAACTGCCAGGCCAAGCTGCCTAGTTCCAAAATGAGGTTGAACTCTGTAAGTATTAACCAGAGAGACAATCAATACACATCCACATCACACAAGTAGTTCCAAATATTTATTCTTTACATTCTGCAGATTGTCCTGCATAAAGGACAGCTAAGCTATACTGGATTTGCATAGATTAATTCCTGAAATTGCACTAGCTATAGCATTACAATCTAACATGATTAGATAAACAATGAGAATTCAGTAAATCACACATAAGCGAAAAGGGGTTGTTTCAGGGGGGTGTATTTCTTCATTTTCTTTTTCTTTCTTTTCATTTCCATGTGAGGCTGTTTCGCAAAAACAAATAAAAACCATTCTCCTATAGTTCATGAAAATGCTAGCACGCCAAGTGTAATGAAATTTCAACTGTCTACCTCTATGCCATGGTATTTTAAACAATTGGACATTAGCCTCATCTATTAGAAGTGCAGCCTTTAGTACTTACTACTATTTGTTTGGTTATTTTGACAGGTACTATTAATAATAGCAAACATTAAGGTGTGGCATCAAAGATCTTCCACCTTTTTGGACTATCGACATAATTTCCCATACGGTGTGCTGGAGCTATTCAGTATAAACAGGATAGTTCACGTTATATTCTTTCCTACAGATGATTACCTTGTGACATAATCATTCTCATGCTACAGATGAGTGATGACTACCTTCTGACAAAATCATTCTCGTGCTACAGATGATAAAAAGTATGTGTCAATCTTAAGGTTTATTTATATTTATCTACCTTTGCTACCTCCCTTTAACTTCATTTCATTCAATCGCTTTTCTGTGGCATAAATGCACTATATGATTGCGGAAATTTAACGTTCAAGAACAAACATCATGAGCTGGGTTCGTGAAGAATGTGATACATACCTCATCTTCACTATACCCCTGCCCTTCCTTGGGTGTAAATAGCATTTCCCCTGTTGCAAGCTCAAAAGCAATACACGCAAATGACCACATGTCAACAGGAAATGAATATCCTGAACCTAGAATGACCTCTGGTGCCCGGTACTGCCTTGTCTGAATAAAATCTGTAAATTGCTTGTCAGCCCAACAAGCGTTTCCAAAGTCCACAATCTTGCATGTCATATCAATCCCATCCAAGCTCCTTTCTGCACGTGCATATTCTGCAGCTGATTTCTTTTTCTCAGCAAGCTTTGCGAGCACCCTCCTCGCTCTCATCTTCAATTTCTTCTCAATCGGGTTAAGCATAACTTCTCCATTAGGATTCCCTTCAGGCCTCTCAAGATTAGGTTTAAGTCCAGAGCGTATAGGGTCCTTTGAGGGATCAATTGTTGAGATAAGAAGAATATTCTCAAGCTTTAAATCTGAATGGATGATCCCAAGCTCTCTATGCAAGTAATCAAGACCTATCAAAATTGATCTGCATATTTCCCTCACCGGTCCAAATCCAATGCCGTTGTAACGGTTGTATTGTACTAGCTTAAGTAAGCTATCTCCAAGGAATTCAAAAACGAGGCAAATATGTTGCCCATTTGGCCCAGCGTGCTTAAAATGATCTATCAGCTGGATAATGCATTTACAGTTTGATGGATCTCTCTTGGTGATCTCAGAAAGGAACTCAATTTCATGAAAAGCAGCTTGCGCAAACTCTGGTGCACTCTTCTGGATCTTAAGAGCCACAAATTTCTGCATAAGGGATCAGAATAATGAATACCAACATTCCTATGGAGCAATGAAGCAATGAAGCTAATCACTTCTAATTTACTGGCCATTATTCAGTAAACAACAACGAAAACAACAAAAAAAAAACTTCAGACCAAAATTATCCTTAATTAACTGTTACTAGAATCCAATTAAGAAATAATTGTAATCTCATCCACACAATTAAGAGGGGAAAAAAACAGAATCACCTTATCACAGCACTTAAATGAGCCGGCCATGACAAGCCAAAAGAATTTATCCAGCATCTATTAAATGAGAACATGCATATTTGGCTATATGCATTTTATTCCACCGCACACAAAGGAACAAGAAAACATCCAAACTGTAATTTCGTTCCGTCATCAAAAAGTAGGGTACTTTCCAATACCGGATAAGCGAATTTCCACGAAGCAAAAAATGACAAACTAAATCGAAACCTAGTCAAAGAAAAAAAAAATCAAAACGAAATCCCATATATGTACTGGCCGCATCGCATCGGTCCCTTTCCCCTTGCGGGGACCCCGAGCAAGCTAACCCGTGAGATGGCGGCCGCGGCGGAAATCGAATTCCATTTTGATCGACAAAGGCCGAGATCTTCCACGGAGGATCGCCGCCGAGAAGCGATCTCTCGTCGATCTTGGGGGAGGAAGGGAGGGAGGGAGGGATCAGGCACGCGGCGCGCCGCGCCGCGAAGAGCGGAGGCGCGATCTTGGCGGGGATCATGGAGGAGGGGGAGGGGGAGGGGGAGGGTATATACCTGGGTGTGGACGTCGAAGGCGAGCCAGACGGTGGAGAAGTTCCCCCACCCGAGCTTCCGCTGGGCGACGTAGCGGCCGGCGGCGAACTGGTCCCCGGGGCGGACGGCGTGGTACCCGCCCTTGCGGTACCCTTCGACGCCCTCGTCCTCCTCCTCCTCGTCCCCCGACGACGACGGCGACAGCGACGCCTGCGACATGTCCTCCCCCGCCTTCCCAAGATCCGGCGGTCGGGCGTGCGTGCGGGCGCGCGTCGTTCCCCCGGCGACCTCACCGGCGGCGGCGGAGATGGGGTGGTGGTGGTTGGTTGCTCCGTTCGGTGGCGGGGAGGTTGGTTTGGGAATCGAGGGAGGGAGGGAGGAGGAGGCGAGGCGAGGCGACGACGGCGGCGGCGACGGTGGTGCCGAGTTTGGTTGGTTTACTTTTTCAGGGGGGTGGGAACGCGGAGGGAGAGCCTTTTTCCCACCTCGCCCCCTCCTATTTTTGATGTATTGCATATGTTTGCATGGGCTACCTGTATCTCCCTCTACGTGTTCCACGGCTCTGCGCCGTCTCGACATATGTCATTTTTAGATGGTTAAGTATTCATTTTTAAACCGATATATTTAGGATTCTTTTGGGAAAGTTTAAGATTCTTAAAATCAGCCAGCTGGTCGCCTAGTTGGTAGCCAGTTTCTAAGAATATAGAAAAACTGAGTTTTTTAGTTTCTAACTTCTAGTTCATTTTATAGATTCTACAACAACAGCTTCTTAGAATTTGGACTAAAAGCTGAACTGTTTTGGGGAGCTTCTGATTCTAGGAGAAGCTGCTGCAGTTAGAAGCTCCCCAAACAACCCTTAGATTTTAGCCTTGAATTCGTTCTAAATATCAACCAACCATTTTAAGATTCGTGCACAGGTTAACATCTCTTGCTCCTCTCACCTTAGCACCTCTTGGCATTTTCTTTTTAACTTTTTTACGTCAATACAACTTTGGCGATGGTGCTTAGACGTGTGCATTTTATGGTTCTTTTTCTTAATGGCGTTTCATGCTATCAAGAATTTTATTTATCGTAATAGCATGTTTTGGATTATCGGGTATGCTAGCCACCCTCTTGTCATCATCTCTTTATCAACTTACCTTTGTATCGTTTGAACCCTATTCATTTAAGTGAATCCTAACCAAAACTTACTCATGAGAAGATCACGATGGAGATGTGCATTTGGATATCAGAATATGTGGGTAATTGTGCCTAGATGTTTTAAACTTCAATAGGAGTATTTGATGTTATTGCACTATCATTATATTTTTTTAAGAAAGTTGAAATAATGATAGGGATGCACTATGTCTCATCATATTAGTGGTAACCAGTCAACGACCAGTTCAAAGCGATTAATTCAGATATGATTATTCAACCCTAGTTTACTTGTCTAAACAAAGAGTTTTTTTTAAAACCGTGTATTGAACCTAAGCAAAATCACAGGGCTTAGGCGGGCTGAAAAAACCATCTTGTGAAATGCACAATGGATTTTATCATTATTATGAACACATTTTTCCTAAACACGCTGGTTTTCAAGTGGTTTCCTAGCCGCGAAGGCAAATTTCTCGACAACAACTATCCCTGTTATTGTTGGTTACGCTGGCCGGTAAACATTGCTTTAATTCAAAATCTTGTTTGATAAATCTCAATAATCTCAGCGGACTGACTTTTTTTTAAGAAAACAAAAAGAACACTTTCTAATAAGATCGTTCGTTCGGCACAATGGCACCAAAATTCATGCAATAAGTATGAAGCAGGAGGTTCCATATGCAAACGGGTTCAATATTGTGGCAGGTACCCCCAGACATGTCTTTGCTTTTGATGCTTTGGGGGATTCAGGTCAGGTTGGTGCCGTGCACCTTCGCCACATCATCCTCCAAGAAAGCGTCGTTTGACGGATCCTCTGCAGCTGTAGGCAGTGCAGCCCCCCATCATTCGCTGCTGAGCATCTCTGATTGATGATGATCAACCATATCCTGATCTACTGATCTGTCAATGGGAATTTTTCTTTACTGGAAATTCTGCAAATTTCAAAAAAAGAAGAAGCAAACAGTTTTGTCAGCTGCTGGTATGGTATGGGCATCAGCACTTGCACTGTACAGCTTTGCAAACCAAGGAATGAGTAGCACTGGAGGCATCATCAACGAATGGGGCCTGGTAATGTTGCCTCGTGCTATTATTGAGCTATTTTTCATCGTTTTCGTCTCTAGTTTGTCATTTTGTTTTTAAAAGAATCTAGGGAAATTAATATACTCAATGGAAACTAAAACTAGAGTATGTAGGTTTACACGCATGCTTGGCATCCTTTTTATCTTCATGTTTGAGAGAATTTCTCTAGCACAATAGAATATCAACCAATTCTTTACTTGGCATACAAAAATGGTATCACCTTAGCTGTCAGCCTGTCACCGACTGAATTTTTATTGTTCTCTTATTCACCACCGACTCACATGACTGTTAGTGGTCTCAATGTTGTCCGTCTTTTTTCTCTTTGAAGAAATGGCTGGTCAAGTTGCCCCATGTCTTCCTCCTTCAAATCTCTTCTCCCTCAATTTTTTTCTTTCTCCCTGCCCATCCTTTTGCTACACTGCCCTACACGTGAACAGAGTAGACCTTCGGTTTGCTTTAGGCCGCTTACTTTTCAGCTATTGCAACTCCTCAATTTCCGTTAGCATGTTTTTCAAACGGTTAAATGGTACATTTTACGTAAAAATATTATATATATAAGTTGTTAAAAAATCTAATAAATTTATTCATCAAATTTTTATATATTAATACTTAATTAATCATATACTAATCATGTTTCTCGTTTTACGTACGGCTAATTAGCCATTTCAAACCTCCAAAAAGAGCACAGCCTTAACGAGATTAGTTGTAACAATCGTGGGGCTTTGTTTGTATGGAGATGATCGACTATGGGTCTATTCAAGGGAGTTTTTGACAGCTACAGCTTCTCATAGAATCTTCTGCCGCTAGAAGCTCTCCCAAACAATCCAGATTGAAAATCTGTAGTGGTAGAATCCAGAAAATGAATTAGAAGCCGAATTCTCACCAACTGCTTCTCAGAATCTCAAGCTCCCAAAACAAACCATATATTAGCTTACCATTTATCTTGGCCATCTTGTAGGCTATAGCATTGCTCTACCAAGCATCCAAACCCCCGGCTAAAGGAGATGAGATGACAGAATGCTACAATCCGTCCCCTTTGACATACTACCTCTGTCTTAAATTATAAAGAGTTTTAGAATTAGACATGAGTAATAAGAAAGTAGGTAAAATTAAATAGGAAAAAATTGTGATTGATTGAGAAAAGATGGTACATGAAGAATTTAAAATGGTGGAAGACTTTGATTGATTTAAAAGTGGATGTAGGTGGAAAAGTTATTATAGTTTAGAATAAATTTAAAATGCTAAAAGTTATTATATTTTGAGACGGGAGGGTAACTATTGTGCAAATCATATACTCCAATATTCCAAGCTGAATCAGAGGAAAGAGATTAGTTTGTCCACAATGTATGCGCCACAGAGGATCAAAGAACCCAATGTACTTAAAAGGTCACACAAGTCACAAGAGTAGTGGTTGGGTTCGTTGGAATTGAACCTTCAATTAGCTGTTCCTAAAACACCACACCGTAATCAACTAAAGAGAATATTACTAAATAAAAGAAGCAAGGACGGATGTTTTTTTTTCTTTGCTGACTCCAGTGTTGTGATGGCTTTGCGTACGTTGCTAGCTAGCCAGGCGAGCGAACCACTTCATCTATATTTATGATAACTCAAGTGTTTGGGAAAACAGATCAGTTAACCATAATGAATATTTTTAATAAAATATATTTTTCACCCAAAATACATATCATATTGTTTATTTTCCAATTCCCATTTTCCAACATATGCAAAGTGCACCTATTTCCTCGCATTGTTAATATTTGTCGCTTTGAACAACAATATTGTAAACTCTAAACCTTAACTATAAATTACATCTAAACTTTAAAACTCTATGTATATGTATGAATTAGTCTTAAAAGATACTTCAATAAAATTATATATTTATTGATATTTTTATATTTTAATAACAAATTCTTGGTCAAAATTGTTTTTAAAACATATACTTGTCCAACACGATAAGTATTATCCACGTATTATGTATATTTATCTTTTACAATTTGTATAGCTATATTTTCCGTGGATCACATTGATCCCTAAATTTATGCATAGCACTTGATGATACTTTAGAAAGTATTCGATCCGCTTTGAATTATAGTTACCTAGTACTACATTAGACACAAAATAGAACTATGAATCTGGACAAATAGTCTGTTTAGATTCACAGTAATATATTATGTATAATCCTACACTTGAATGCTATATTTTAGGATGGATGGAGCAGTAGATAATTGCTTGTAGTTGAAGCCAGTGAGGAAAATGTTGCTCTATTTTTTAATAAAAACTAATAATATGCCTATACATTACAACAACAGTCCCATGCCCTTGAGATTTGGGATTGGTATGGGCCAGGTGTGATCTAACTTAAATCACGTGATTATTTTAGCAACCTCATTTTTTTTCTTTTCGGTGGAAAGAGCGCCCGCCTTTGTAAGCAGTGGAGAAAAAAATACACATGGGAATTGCTATAAACTGCCACGAAGTTGATACAATATTCATATGTCCCAACAGTCTTTAGGAGTGGTCCAAGATAAAATATTTAGCACTAATCCTATGAAATTTTGGTGTTCCCAACGGGTTTTCAGTTTTGGTGAATTTTTCACGCTTGAAAAAAAAAGAATTGCTACCCATCTGCTGATAGATTTTCTATTGCCAAATCTTACACCTTTTCGACCATTGGATATGTTTGAGATTCACGCCAGCCATTCGATTCGTGCTGAGATTGGTGCATGGCAAGAAAACAAAAACTCCTGCGTCGCATGCGCTTATCCCTACCAATGAGTTAACTCACTTTTATTGGTACATATATAACTTACATCTAAGTTATATTTGTAATTACATGTTAATTATAATGTAATCATATTATAATTGTAATATAATTATATTTGAAAGACTTTTAGGAGGATTTTTCTATCGAATGTTTGTTAGGCAGTAAAAAAAACCTTAAAAATGATTGAATCCTAGAAACTCTGACCTATACAAGTGGTAGGCCACACGACACTCCCCTCCTATTTCTCCGTGGGCTGACTCTTGTCTTGCTCGCATGGAGGAGAGAGAAAAATTCCAAGAAACCAGCAAAAGGCAGGAGATAGGCGGAGCACCATCCAAGGAGAAGAAAGGGGAAGAAATGACGAGAACAACTCCAATCTCCTGATCGCCCAATCCAGGTAATTAGACGGATCATCTCATCATTCAGTTCATGTATTTCAGAAACTTTTATCATTTTTTTGGGTCAATGTTTGGGTTGGGGGATGCCCAAATCAGTGGGGGATTTTTTTCAAGCCATTCTTCAAATCCATAGGATTTCTTGGTAGAAGACGAATTAGAATAGAATTTTGCATGAAGGGCAAACACTTTTTTATGATGATTGGAATTCTTTTTAGTGCTGGGGATGGAGATTTTTGGAAAAAAAAACAATACCCATTTTGATAGGTGTGAAGCTGCTGAGATCATGACACATTATAATGTCTTGATACTTGACAGATTAGACCGAGATTTAGAGAGGCATATAAATTGATTGGAGAGATTTTATACATTATGTAAATATCTGCATGTGCCAACAGTGTGAATTGGTTCAGAACAAAGTAGAAAATTGGACACTCTAAACTGAAGTGTACTTATGTCTTGGAAGTGGGGTGGAAACTAGAATGTAAGTACGCAACAATGTTTTTTTTTCCTCTCTCAATAATGGAATAGTTCTTAAGAAGAATTATTGTACAATTGTACTTGGTTGACCTCTTATTTGGGACAAAAAGCAGCATTTGCATAAGCATAATGAGTGGATGTTCATTTATATGTGTTGCTTGCCCACAAGTTAAAGACACAAAATTCCAATGAAAGAAAGATTGCTTCTCATAATTTTATATATTTTTTCAAAGATCTTAACATAGAACCTGAATACCTGATAAATTTGATACAATATTACAGATATTGGGAAAGCATACACTGAAACTGCCGAAGGTTAAAGGAAATGCCAGTGTTGAAGACCGTAGGCCGATTCTTTCGGCGATATCCTTCGATCTTCAGTTCACTTGTGTTTCTAGTCATATTGTACAAGTTCTTCTTTGGTTGGTTCACCTTCCTCCTGGAAACATCACCCATCTTCCTATTTGCTGGTTTTTTTCTTGGAATCATCCTAGCTTATGGTGAGCCAAACATTCCGGAAAATGACCACGTCTACAAAAAGATTGAGAAAGCTTACAATCGGAATGTCCGGGACAACAGTAAATCAACTGGGGGTGTAACTCTTCCAAGTATTGCATCTAGTGAAGAGAGATTGGCCAAACACAACAACACGGAAAAGGTAACCAACGGAAGATCTCATATTGGAGCTTTTTCTTCTGAATCAGGATCAGGTGAATCGGATGGATCAGAAACTGATACCCATCCAATGCTCCACACATTCCACCATCTTAGGTCAGCTACAAGTTCATCGCGATCCTCTCAAGACGGGGACTCCAATGACAGCAGTATTGAAGATGGAAATGAAAACCAAGAGGGCAAGGATGACAATGAACATGAAGAGAAAAACGGTAAAGTCGTGGCATGGACCGCCGATGATCAAAAGAACATACTAAATATAGGGTGTTTGGAGATTGAGAGGAACCAGAGGTTAGAGAACTTGATTGCTCGACGCAGAGCAAGGAAATATATTGATAGGAACCTGATTGACTTTGGCAGCAGTGACTCCCTCCCAAAAATTGAGGAGCTCTCAAAGTTCAATGTTCAAATTCCAGCCATATTTGCTCCTAGGAAAAATCCATTTGATCTTCCCTACAATGAAGATAACTTCCCGGAATCCGCTCCATCTGCGCCATTGAATATGTTAAGTAAGTTCGATCTTCCATTTGACGAAGCAAATGAGAGTAGCTCCACTGGTGGAGCTAACTCAAACCATGTGGACTCTACTACTGTTTTTTCTCAATCACAAAAAGATACAATGTTTAGGAGGCACGAAAGCTTCACACCAGGAGCATCATTCCTTAGTGACTTTTGGCAAGATACGCAGCCTTCTCGGTTCAGACCATACTTTGTGACAGAAAAAATGGCTAATGAGGGAATCTCAGTTCCTAATCTTGAGGGAGAAGCAAGTGAAAAGAGTTCTGTTGAAGACTCAGATAGCACTTCTTCAGTTACTGATCAAGAAAACCATAAACTAGTATTGGAGGATAGCCCAAACCAAAATCTCGGACCTCAGATGAGTCAAATGGATGAACAACCTCATCGTTCCCAAAATGCTAGAGAGGTTCCTCTTGCACTTGACATCGAGCCGCCTTTACTAATAAGTGATTCCTCAGATGATGACATATCACTTCCTGGTGGAAATATAAATGATCGTGAAGAAGCGCAAGAGAATGGAAATTTGAATTTGTCACAAAATGCGTCATTGGAAGACCCTAGTGTTATTGAATACCCTCATCAAATGGAGATGATAAGCAATGAATTTCACCAATTATCCCCACATTCAAATGATAATGACTCACTTTCATCATCAACAGAAGCAACTGAACCTCCTGAATTGAATAGCATTGAACTACCAGGTAATCTCAGAAACAAACTCACTTTCTTGATGCTATATAAGAACATATGCCTACAAAAACATACTAAATATTATGCGTTATGGTCTTCTTCTTTCTAGCTAACGAAGTGGAGTTTATTAACGAAATCCCGATTGCTGATCCCATTTATGATATAAGTCCATCAAGAAGCGAGAAGCCTGCATCTATTGGTTCAACTATTGATGCAGTTTTGTTGCAAGAAGGTAAGGCAAGATTGAAAGGAATTATCTAGTTCAATTGTGAGCATAACATTTCTTCCCTTTCCTAAGTAGATAACTATTGTTCAGGTAATACTCATACTTCTGATGTCGAAATGAGTATGGATGGAGAGGATTCAGTATCAAGAATTGAGGCGAGTGAGATACCCGCACCTAGTTTGGCTTCTGTGCAGGAAAGCAAACCCAGAGAAAAAGAAACCTCTGAAGTAAAGGAGCAAGATAATAGTGGCCATGATGGAGGCAATCAGGATTCTGTCAGTCATGCTAACTCAAAAGTACCTATGATTAGTTCTAAGCCGAGCATTAGCGGTTTAAGTAATCGTAAGTTCTATGACTATGACCTTTACATTCACACATTAGCTATATTCTACCATGTACTAATTGGCAAAACCATTCTATCATGGGTTCTTTAAATGCTGTTGCAAAAATATAACAAAACAAACTGTGGATAATAAATTTTGAACGGACCAATCAACTAGCAAATTGATTATTACTCCCTCCGGTCATAAATATTTGACATTTACAAGATCTGGTCAAACTTTTAGTATTCTAACCATCAATATTTTCTAAAATACTAAGTTTAAAAACAAAAGAAATGGTACACGTATATTTGCCTCAAAAAACATTATTATAATATCATAAACTTAATAGATTTTATAAACTTATTCTAATATAAAATTTATGGTTGGAATTTTAAAAGTTTGGTCAAACCTCGTCCTAAATGTCAAATAGTTATGACAGAGGGAGTAGTATTTTTGGTTAGTTTCAGCTTTTATCATACATAACTTGGTCTGGTGAATCAACATTTCTTTTCTGGTCATCTCTGTGAGTGACTGGCATATTACCTTAGACCATGACTGGAAATAGGTAATAGTTTTGTTATTCTATTGAGGGAAACTTGTTTTTGCCACTAGTTTATTTATGATGCAGTGGTTAAAAATGCTCATTTCATTTTTGCTTCTGAAAGTCAGTGTGACAAACTTCTTTTTCACCTCCATCAGTTCCAGCCAGTTCTGTTAAATATTCCAAAATAGTGAAATAATGTGGTTTTAAAGCAAATACAGTGCCACCCTAATTCTAGATGCACCTAATGATCAAATGCCACTGTCTGGTATTAAATCATGCCATCATGGCCATACAAAAATAAAAGTACAAAAAGTTTCAAAAGTCAGACTAAATGCAATGGATCATTTTTCTACGTTATAATGATCGAACGCATACGAATCCATCTGAACTGATTTATATGACCGCAGTAATTCAGCTCATAAACTTGGAATGCTAACTTGTATGTTATCTGAACATTTAAAGATAAATTCCTGACGCTAACTACCCATTAAGTTCCAAAACAACACACTAATGCTTCAATTCCCTTCTCCTGATTTTCCCTATCTTAATTACATTGGATGACCTCTTTCGGTCATTCCGGAAAAAAAATCCCTTCTCCTGATTGATTTGAGAATTTAACCTGCGCTATTTGCTTTGGTTTCTTCTCTTTTTCAGCAGTTAAGTCTGGCAGTAAAATGATATCATCCTCAAAAAAGGCAGTTTTTGGACTCTTCAAGAAATGACAGGGGACCCTGATTGTAAGCTTCTTGACTAAGCCCATTGGAGGCAAAGTGCACCCTGGCCACAAATTGTTGAGTAATGGGAGGCAAAGAGAGTTTTCAATACTCAAGGGACCAGAAGGATTGGATTATCTGTTTGATCTGTATAATCTGAGTGTACAGAAAAAAAACTGCAAAATTAGCATTGATGCTTAACTCATATGACAAATGGGATAATGGAAAGATACAAGAGTTTTGGAGGTTCCATATGTGTATACCTTCAAGGCCATCAAATTTTATCTGAAATTGTCAGGCACTTTAGGAACATGAACAGAAGTGAAAATGCCCTTCTAGCTGAGTGTTTCTAGTTTATGCAGTGCCTCTATTTTAAAAAGCTTGCCTGAGTGTGCCATTGTCAAGCTATTAGTACTTAATTTATTGGTCAGAAATTGGAATATATGTTTTTTTGACAGCTTAGTATGTAAACTATTTTCAGAATTGTCAAGTTTCTAAGAAAGGATTGTGTTACTTCAATTACAGTTTCAGTTTTGTACACACATATGTATATTGTATAGAGAAAAAACCCCATATTTATCACAACTTTGGGGATGGTAGCAACCAACACCACATTTGTTTTTCCTTTGGTACCTCTAGCCATCCCATTATCCCGAAGTTTAACACCCACTTTGGTGTTACTTGAAGGAGAGAAAACGTGTACTCCATCCGTCCCAAAATATGAGCATTTTTAGACTTCAGCACGGTTTTCGAGATACAAATATCTATAAAAGTAAGATAGTTTGTACCGTGTAATTCTAAAAAAAATGTTGAATATTATGATAGTTTGTTTAATGATAAATCTAGTAATATCGATTTTATATAATTGATCTTTTTTTATATTTTTTTTGCTATTAATAATCAAAATTAAAAATGTTTGACTTTACACTATGCTAAAATACTTATATTTTGAGACGGAAGGAGCACTTACTAGTAGCCAGCCGTTGTAATATTCTTACCAAACAAATGCTTGAGGTACGGATGGATTTTTATGGTCAGTATGGTGCAAATTACACTAGCGTGGGACGCGCGCTTCGCGCGCTGCACCGGTGGAGGTAGAATAGGGTGTTAGTGATTACTTGCTGATAGCATTAGCAAAAAGAAAAAAAATGCTGTTTATCTGATATAAGTGGCATGATTATGTTTTTGGTTGCAAGAAATAAAATGGCGTCGGGAACTGATGAAAGCTTAAGGCAAGAATTGTTATGGAAGGCACGTAGTATGTAGCGCTTAATATAGGTATGACTAAGATAAATTCAGAGGTACATTAAAGGTAGAGAAAGGACAGCATAAATAGAAGGTATTGTCATCAACTCATCATCCATCTGATAATTATACATAAATAAATGTAAATGCTATATAGAGAGGGAGAAAGTAGTGTATAAAATAGTCCATCTGATAATTGTACATCTACAAATAGGAGTGTAAAAAGTTAAGAACTACTACAATGCTATTCCTGTAATTAAGGTTTGTAACAAACCTCATTAAGTAACAAACATTACTATTCTGACAGCAAATGACATGGATCCTTTCGATCTTGTCCAAAACTGTTTTTACTTGCATCGCATTACACTTTCAAAAGTGCACTGACTCTTTGACATGTAAATCTCTATCCTAGACTGAAAAGCAAACCAGGAAGAGTTACACACAACAATGTAAATATGACCAGAGCAACTTCAGTGTGTACTTCTCGAGCGACCTACAGAGCAAGTGAAACACTGATGACAGCAACACAAAAATGAATCACATAGCTAAGGTCAGCGGATTAGGGACCTGAGTGCAGGCACCATCAACGCGACGCGCGCACCGTTGCGGAGCCCTGAAGCCATTTGTATTCCCCTTTAATCTCTCTTTATTTTCGTGAACATTGCAGCTAGATTTCTGCTCTAAAAAACAAAAAAATACTCATTTTTGTAAATAAAACAGAGAGGATACAATATAAACTTCTAAACTACTCTAAAATTTAGATGCAAAGAAACTCAATTTTGAGATGCCACATTACTTGCAAAAAAAAAAAACCTTGAGATGTAAACCTGAGTGAATGATGTGCATACCGGGGGCAGGCACCGCGGTCACGGTACCGCAGACTGCGCAGCAAATCGACGTTGCTCCGGCTGGATACATGAGCAGGTTACGGCACCCAGAGCAGACGAGCTGGCTTTGGGCCCCTGAAATTGCACAATCATGGCTCTTCAGAGTTCAGAGACTGACTGAATGTCGCATTTCAGCAGCTAACATTTTCATTTTCAGACAACACAGGCATCTTCCATGCATCATTTTCATTTCAGACAACGAAACTCAGCAGTAAAAAAACTTCCATTTTCTCAACAGGGAGTTCTCTCTAAACTTTCAGGACTTCTATGAGCAGAATAAACTGCAACCTCTGAACCAGGAACAGTAACATCTGATTCAAGAAAAAGCTGTCTATTGAAGTTCAGTTCATAAGATTTCTAGTCCAAAAGAATGCACCAGGGCGAACACTATGGCATGTACCAACATTTCTAGGTGACCAACCAACATCAGGGAAAAAAAACTTAAAAAGTAGCTGTGTTCTTGCAGTGCCAAGTTGGAATCCATACCATTGGGAGGTGTAAATGGCACAGGAGTTGGATATGGGGCAAGGGGAACCAGCATTGCTGTGCCAGCTGCCTGAACCGATGGCATCGCTTGTAGATGCTTCACAGATTCCAGCAACAGTCAGGCAACTGAAATCACCTTTCCTTTCCCTACAGGAAAGAAACCTACAGAAAGATTCAAGAGAAGCTGATGAGAAAGCAAGAAAGATTTCAGTTCTGAAGAAACCAGTGAAAGCTCCAATAGAAAAATGTTAGAACATCACTTCAGTTTGCAACAAGAAGTTTCAGGACTCTTTATGCAACAGAAAACTGGTTCAGCAATGCACATCAGTCGCAAAAAATTTTAGCTTCTTGGTTGAATCTCTCATCAAATCTGATGTTCAGGTTCTGTTTACATGTACAAAAAAATAAGAACCATCCCATAATTGAAAATTCATTGGTGGGTATGGCATCCAGGCAAACAGCTATTTGAGTACTTTTTTTGTGCTAAAATACCAACAAAACTCACATGAATTTTTATTAGTTTGGAGAGAATAGCTACTCATGTAGGAAAGACCCCTACCTGAGTAAAGCTGATGAAGTGACCAGCTCATAGATGTATAAATTCCATCAAGAACAGATCAACTTATTTAAGCTAGTAATAACGGGGTAGCATAATGCAGCTAATTAATCAGCCACTAACCTGCCTTACAACACCAAATAGAGTCAAGACACAATATAAGAAAATAATTTAGATAACCAATAAATATGTGCCACATTGGTGCCACAATTTGCTACTACCAGGAAGGAAGCTATAATTTTAATCTAGTCAAGTGTGGTCAAGGAAAATGCAGTGAAAAGAGTAGGTAAAATTCTCACCTAATGAGCTTAACACCTCCTGGTAAATAAGTGAGGTAGATAGGAGCGCAACAATCAGCTTCAACCAGTGAGCACATAGAGCAACTAAACCCCTCCCCACATCCACCTCCCTTGCCAACTACTTCATTTTCAAGGTTTTTAGTCAATCAACCTCAAGAAGGTGACGTAGAGCACCGCCATCTGTTCTGCTAGGAAGGGGACAGGAAGAGCTAGCAAGCACAGCTGCCAATTCATGGAGAGCTGAACCAACAGTTGGAAATAAAGTTCACAAACTTGTGAGCTCGTGGGGATCTGGGAAGCACAAATCAGGAGAAGGGATCATGTCATGTACGGCCGCACGTACAGGCGTAGGCGTGACATGCGCCGAGCGGCCGAGCGCGCGACGGCTACGTCCAGTGGCTGAAAAGGAAAGCAGAAATCTTGCTGCCAATTTTGGTGTCCCTAGAATTAAGGATAGCCTTCTCTATTTGGTTGGGCCAGTGGCCATATAATCCTGTAATAAGTCCCGTTGGAGGGGTAGCAAAAGATTATCATCCCTAATCCCTCTCCCTTAATCTCAAGCCACTAGCTGAGGGGCAAAACCTCGCAGTGAGGACTGGAGCGCGGCTACGAGTTACGTAGTCGCGGTCCGGCGTCGTTGGGTGCCGAGGCACTTGACAGATCAAGTGATTTCTTACATGCTACCACAATAACATCCTTCAGTATATCAAGCATAAACCAAACCATTACCTAGGGGTACTTTTCCGAGAAGCACCTTAGTTTAGATTTTAATAGAAAAGGAGTTTAGATTTTAATAGAAAAGGAGTAGTAGCAGTAGAGAAAATGGAGGAGGTAGGAATAGGGGCTCTTACCCAGGGAATGGCTGCTTGGTGGCATCGAGCTCCATGGGGTGCTAGCCATGGCAGTTGAGCCTGAAACTCCATGCATGGGCTTCTTTAGCCATGGAGATTCACTCCTTGGAGCTGTGGGTTGGGGCAAAATAAAATAGAGAAAAATTTAATGCAAAATAAAATGTCTAAACATGTCCAATTAAAGTAGAAGAAAAATTGACTTGAAGAAGGCAGATGATATTGATCAGCCTATCAAAGGGTAGTAGTTCGCAGTTCACACACCTATATTTACATGTAGATTAGCATCCACTTTAATGAACAAGGATGTGAAAAAATGGTTCTCTTTGCAGATAATCCAAGATATCATTGTTACAGACAAATAAACAAATTAATAATGTACTCAGCTACTTAAGGTAAACTTTGTATCAAATTACTTCCTATGGTAATTACCAACCTCTTGAAGCCACCATGTTTTTTATCTTCTGCAAGTATAGCTCTATCAACTATTACACCAGTTCTTGAACTGCCAAATAAGATAAAAGGTGAAAAGAATCAGATTGAGTGAGCTCAAGCTACTATCGTTCTATATTGCGGAATAATAATGGTAAATTGGAAATGGTTTATGGTTTATTCTTTTAAAAGTAACTCTCCCTTTACTATTGTCCATAATAGATTCCCCAAAGTACATGTTTTCCCTATACTATCCTATGACTGATAAGAAATGATAATTCATTTTTTTCTTCCTAAACACTTTCTCTCACCTGTTGTAACATAGAGAAACAATATCAGCTAACATGTTTTTTTCCTGTGGCAACAAATACGCCCGTGAAAAATAATGCAAACCTTGAGGAAGCGACGGCGATGAAGAATTGAAGATTTCCTTAGGCCGGCTGCTAGTATCTCCTCCCCCAAGAGCATGCGACTACGGTGACATGAGCTTGCTCTATTGCTGCCAGGGCTGGAGGGAAGAGAAAAATAGTCACCGAGGAGAAGTGGTTGGCTGGACGCGTTTCTCGTTAACCTATGCACATCAGCAAAGTAAAGAACAAAGAAAAGGGGAAAAAATCAAGGAAGGCAGAGGATTGAGAAGCCGAGAAAGAGCCAAAAACTCACCGGAGTGATTCCAATCTTGTAGCTGCGTGAGGGAGAGGATGAGGAGGGACGCAGCACCAGACCCTCAATGGGGCGACCCGGCTCTAGGACATTGTGATGACAGGCTTGCCTTGTGAGTGAGCCATCCAGATCGACCGTAGCGCCAGTTGACCGACCATGTTGCCGCCGAGCTCGTCGGCAGATCAGCCTGGCGATGTACGGTTCACCTCTTCTCGCCGCAGCCACCGCCTTCATTGATGCCGGCTTCGTCACCACCGTCGTTTCTTTGATGGCAGCGGCAACGGAGGGCGGATCTGTACGCCTGCGGCCACATGGAGCCCAGATCCGGACGCCGGCGGCCGGAGGCGGCTGTTGGTAGCGGCGGCGTGAGGCGGAGGCGGAAGCGGCAGCGCTCAGCGACGGCGGTGGCCAAGGCGGAGATGGCTGCTCGCCTCACCGAAGGGAGGAGGGGACTGGCAGCGGCGGCTAGGGTTGGCGGAGGCGGAGGCGGAGGCGGTCGGCAATGGGGACGGCGGGAGGCGGAGGTGGCAGCGCGATGGGGGACGGCGATGGCGCTCAGCGGCGGCGGCGGTGGCGGCGCGAGGGGGAGGCGGAGGCGGCAGCGGCGGCGGTCGGCAACCGGGACGGCGCAAGGGGGAGGCGGAGGCGGCGGCTAGGGTTTGGGGGTGGGTTGCGCGGGGTTTTTTCGACAAAACCCCTCGGCTTCTACATTTTAGAGCGCGGTTCCTTTTTGTTCTTCGCGTGAAATACCTGGATTTCCTACGGAACTAAATGCAAAATATCATCTCAGGAGCACTGTTGTTGAGGGACCTCGATAGAATTACATAGAAACCGAAGGGCTTTTCTGCAAAAGTTGCAAGGACGACGCGGCCGCACGAGAGTCCGCGAAATCCAGCCATTCTCCAGCGCCTGCCTACGTGTCGCTACGCGGCAGGGGCCACGCTAGCGCAAAACGCTGAGGGCGCTGTATTCTCGGGTTAGTTTGAAGACTTTATTAGATTCTACTATCTTTACGCATTATTTAAATTTTTGCTGCTATCAGCAATAGCCAACACACATAAAATCTTTATTTTCACACGGGAATTTGGTGTTTGCAGAGTTTTTTTAATTAAATCACTTCTAAGAAAAATAAGATGCATCAGTAATTAATCAGTATGTTTCTAAATAACTAGGTGATACCCCGCGCCTTGCTGCAGGACTTTTTAGCAAGAAACACTTATAAGAAATACTTATATGAATGCTGATTGAAAAGAGTTGGACAAATGGAGATGTGCAAAAAGTGACAGGAATTAATTTCAGAGATTGCTTGTAATCACATAAAACTGCTATGTGTAAGTTGTTTCTAAGGCAGAAAGAGTTTGTTATTAGTACTTGATAGAACTACCTAGTTTTTAGTTCAGCCACTTTTCTAATTTCTTAGAGACAATCTCATATACTTTCTGCCTGCGCATGTAAATCTTAATTGAGACATATATGCATATAGTCAACATTAATATTCTAAGTCATATAAGAAATAACAGAATCAGGAAATAATATCTGACTGCAATATCTTGTCTCCTAATTTCATAAGTTTAAATGAAGCAAGACAACGTATGTAGCCTGCAAAAGGAGTTACAAAAATAAATATAGGTTGAAGTATGCGCATTGTTATCGTGAAGAAACCACGAGGAAATAGTTCACCTATTGTGTTATCATGGATGATCAAGCAAAGGACAAATCCTAATAATTGCAGAAAGACTACATTTGAAGCTAATAATTTCACTACAAACAGAAGGTTTGTGAACATTCCTTGAGGAACTAATCAGAGTAATTAACCCATTACCAAAAGAGAAAATACATTAAATAAACAAATTGTAGAATCTGCTAATGTCCTCATACCAATTAAAATCTCAGGTTTAAAAACTGTGGAAGCCTGCGAACATAGAAAGAGCTATAGCAAAACATCAGTGGTGATAATATAACTAAAAATATTCCCTAAAATAAGTTAAGAGCTTTTACCTTTTCATTTCTGAATCAAATTGGATACAAAAGCGTATGACATCTTCTTTGTCACGTTATTCGTATGGTATTTAAAAATGAGAAGCATAGAAACAAATTAAGAGTAGAAGAAAAAACAAATTAAGAGTAGAAGGAAAACCTCAAATCAACGTGAGAATTAAAGATACCTTGAAAAATCTCCTGTAAGGGACTGGTACTGGACTACCGGGATTGGAATGCCATGAAGCCACTGCTGCCTGCAGTCTTCAGCTCCTCGGCTTGTCATCTCCTATTGGGATTGGAGTGTAGGATGGCTGGTGGGTGAAGGCAAAGATCTGGCCACACATGCGGGCAGACAGCCACCGTAGTAAAAATATGTTGATAGTAATGCATGTTCATGGGTATCCTATCTTAGTATAAAGTTATCTCCCACCAATTCTTTAAGCTTAACATACAACGATGCCACATCATCCACTAACAATCATCACATTTAAACATCATGCAAACATGCTATATCTTTATAGTTTTTATAATTTAAGAGCTTTTCAAATATAAACATGTTAAATTAGCATCCAACATAATTCACATAATATTTCAATGTATATCTTTATTATGTTTCAGGATATCCTATATAGTTCATCCTCACTTAGTTAGTGCTTAAATGATTAATCTATGGTCCAAATTATCTTTCTCCCTTTTTCCTCTAATTAAGTCATATTACATCAATTGTTTTTAGCCTTTAGATGATTAATCTACTGTATAAACTATCTCCCTACTTTTCTTCTTCCATAAAGTCATATCACCTTACTTTTTACGTTTGAATCACCATTCTACATACTATTTAAATTTAAATTATCATAAACCACATTAATTTACTTAATCTGATGTTATCTAGCTATCTTACACGTTATTTTTTTTAATTGTTATCATACTAAATTCTCACAGCAATGCGCGGGGTTTCACCTAGTTAATTAGAATGTGAAGTGTCAAAGCCAACTTACCTCAGTCTTCTACTCTTTTTTACTGAATTGTCCCATCTAACATAGAAAATTCAGCTGCAATCTCAAACAGAAAGAAGTAAGAACACCATAAAATATTAGATTGGCATGTTTGTACGGAGAGCTCATAGAGTAAACCCCTCGTCTCGTCAGGTAATCGAGAACAGTGATACGGCAGCAGATGATGTTCCATGGCAAAGCGATATGAAGGTGCAACCTGTTAGCTACAGGGCTTGGTGCTTTGACAGGGAGGAGTGGAAGTGAGAATGTGAGATGAGAGGAAAGGAGATTAAATGTGAATAAAAGTGGTAGTAAATAGCTTGGCACAACTTAATTTCATGTCCGTACAGATTCTTGTAATGGAAAAGGCAGTCGACCGGTTTCAGGCAATGACTCCTGACGTCAGGTCGACCTCCCTAGTGCTGATTGGATCTAATGATTTTTGTTAATCCTCGTGAGCTCGTCAGCTACTTGATCGGCTAATCTTGCGTCCCCTCGGATCTCGCCCGCTTTTGACCGAAAGTGAGCCAAACGATCGGATGGCTGAGGACGTGTACATGGAAGAAAGAGATTGAATGGCTGATATAATATTGATGACGTGGCGAATTGAGGAGGCAGCTTTGGGTTTATAGAAAGAAAGGATTAACACATGATACTATTAATATTTTTTTAGAAGAAATATAAATGCTAAAAGGATGTCGTACTATTAATTCTACCATTTGAGATTTATTATTAGTGAGGTTGTAATCGGACTACGTGACAAACAGAAAATAGGAACGAGCGAGTAGTACACGTCAGGCCTGTTAGTCTCTCAGAAAAAACAAAAGGAAAAAAAAAGAATAAATAACTTTAGTTCTTCCACTTTCCCCTCTCTCTCTCAAAAAAAAAGAAAAAGAACTTTAGATTCTTCCACTGAGAAGTGGGTCCCACACACTTAAACCTCCCTTCTCTTGTCTCCTTCTCCTTCCCTTTTCCCCCACCACCATGTTGACTCCTACCACCGCCGCCGCCGCCGCCGTCGCCGTCTCCGGCGAGCTATCGATCTCTGCAACACAGTCCAGACTCCTCCCCTCAGCCTCCCGCGTCCACCTGCCCCACCTTCTCCCCGCTCCGCCTGCGCTGTCCTCCTCCAGGAGCCACCCCTCTGTCCCCACCCCGACCGGCGGCGGCGGCGCAGGAGAGGCTGCTGACCTTGATCCGTCCGATGAGCACCTCGCCACCATGTCCCCGCGCGAGCAGACGGCGCTGCTGTCGCGGCAGCGGCACTGGCGCCGCGCCCGCGACCTGCTCGACCGCATGCGCGCGCTCCCGGGGTACGCGCCCAGCGCCATCCACTACGGCGTCGTCCTCCGCCACCTCGCCGGCGCGCGCCGGTGGGGCGAGCTCCGCCGCGTGTGGGCGCGGATGGCGCGCGAGGGCGCGCCCCCGCCCACCAACCAGGCCTACGCCGCCCTCGCCGACGCGCTCGCCAAGGCCGGCCATGCGCGGGACTCCCTCCTGCTGCTCCGCCACATGCGCGCCCGAGGTGTGGCTCCCGACGAGGTTTCCATGAGCACCTTCGTCCGCATCCTCAAGGACGTCGGCCGCTACTCCGACGCGGCCACTCTTTTCGATAACTGGTGCAACGGCAGGTTCGAGGTTGGGTTCATTGATCTTGACTACAGCGCGCTCGATTCAGGTGGACCGATGCAGTTCTTGCTTGAGGAGATGTGCCATGGCAATGTCGACGATGCTGGTGCATCTGGCATTCAGGGAGTTGCTAGAATTCCGAAGCTTGCTGTCACATATAACACGATGATTGATCTTTACGGGAAGGCCGGGAAGCTCAAGGATGCGATGGACATGTTTATGGGTATGCCAGATTATGGGGTTGCGGCGGATACATGTACCTTCAATACATTGATCAACATATTCGGGTCGTGTGGTAATGTGAAGGAGGCAGAGGCACTGTTTGCTAGCATGATAGTTAGGGGAACTAATCCAGATGTTAAGACGTTTAATGTGATGATGACATTGTTTGCATCCAAGGGTGATGTTGAGGGAGTTTTGAAGCACTACTATCATATTGGGAAAATGGGTTTATCTGCGGATACTGTGAGCTATGGGATTGTTCTCCGGGTGTTATGTGAGAGAAAGATGGTACATGAAGCAGAAGATGTGATTGTGGGGATTATGAGGTCTGGGACTTGTGTTCCTGAACAGTCTCTGCCTGTTGTCATGAAGATGTATATTGATCAGGGGTTGCTTGATAAAGCAAATGCATTCTTCGATAGACATTGCAGAGGTGATGAGGTCTCTTCCAAGACATTTGCTGCCATCATGGATGCTTTTGCAGAGAGGGGTTTATGGGAGGAAGCCGAACATGTTTTCTACTCTCATAGAGGAGTTAGGAGAAGAGGCATAGTTGAATACAATGTGATGGTCAAGGCTTATGGTGCAGCAAAACGGTATGATAGAGTCTCTCCTCTACTTGAGCACATGAATGAGTCTGGTATTTCACCAGATGAGTGCACCTTTAACTCTTTAGTTCAGATGTTTGCTACGGGTGGATATCCACAGAGGGCTAAGAAGCTGTTAGGTAAAATGAAATATGCAGGGTTTAAACCAAAGTGCGAGACATATGCTGCTGCTATTACAACTCTCTCCCGCAACTATTTGGTATCTGAAGCCATATATCTGTACAATGAAATGAAGGCCTCAGGTGTTGAGCCAAATGTGGTTGTTTATGGTGTGCTGATTGATACATTTGCTGAGACAGGGCAACTAGAGGAGGCATTGCATTATAACAACTTGATGGAAGAATCTGGAATTGCTCCTAACCAAATTGTTTTAACTTCTCTTATCAAGGCCTACAGTAAAGCCAATTGCTGGAAGGAAGCGCAAGATTTGTATTCAAGGATGAAGAGCATGGATGGTGGCCCTGATATTGTTGCCTCTAATTCCATGCTAAACCTTTATGCAAATCTTGGGATGGTCACTAAGGTTAAGGAAATATTTGACTGTTTGAGGAGAAATAATCAGGCCGATGATGTTTCATATACTAGCATGATATCCCTGTACAAGAACATGGGCTTGCTTAATGAGTCAGTTAGGGTTGCTCATGACTTGCAGAATTCAGGCTTACTATCCGACTGTGCTTCATACAATGCTGTTATGGCATGTTTTGTGGCCAAGGGCAAGCTAAGAGAATGTGCAGAATTGGTGCAACAAATGCAGGAAGGCAACATTTTGCCAGATGCCTCAACGTTTGGAATGATATTTTCTATAATGAAGAAAATCCAGATTGCACCTGAGGAAGTTTCACAGTTACAATCAGCATATAATGACAACAGGAGCTCTTCTAGTCAAGCTGTAATCGCTTTCTTGTTTTTGATAGCTGGCATGCATGCTGCAGCATTAAATATTTGCGAGAAATATATGAAGCCTGTGTTGACAATAGATCAGTGTGCATGCAATGTTGCCTTCAAAGTTTATGCGTCCTGTGGGGAGGTGGATAAAGCTTTCAGTTTATTCATGCAGATGCATGAGTTGGGGCTGAAACCGGACACAGCTACTTACATCCATTTGACAACTTGCTATGGGGAATATGGAATGCCGGGAGGTCTTAGAAGTGCAAATGGCTTTCTCAGACACCAAAACAATGATATTACCCTACATAAAACTGTGGTTTCCTGCAGGGAAAATGAAAGCAATATTCTTGCTTATCAGTCAGTTAAGAAATGAGATGCTGATACAGTTCACTCAATCACCTGATATGCTCACAAGGTGAAGTTGTCTTTGTTTTGGGCTCTGAAACTGGATGATACTGATTGGAGACAATCAATTGAAGATATATAATGCAAGATGGATACAAAATACTGTGTAAGTGTCTCTATATTTTGATAACCCAGATATTTCAGTCTTTAATGTCTTCTGTTATTAATACTTTGTTTTCTTTAAGTGCAGTTCACTTATTTCCTCATTGATCTCGATTGACAGCATATAGGCAAAATTACTTTATAAGATCCATAAAACTATGGATTATTTTTTTCCCTTTTGCAAATAGTATCGTTGCAACAGCTTTATGGCTTTGACCAGTTTTCAACCAATTTCTTTATGGCTTTTACCAGTTTTCAATAATAGTCATATAACCATAATTATCTGTTGCTGTTGTTTGGCTGTCCGCCTCTAGTTTTAGCTTTTCTAAATAGTGTTTTCGATCAAATACATGTGGGAGCTATGGAAGATGCAGAAAACTTCATTGCTTTGTATGTTAAATGAGGCCATTTCCTTTAGATCTTTCTACAACTGAGACTTGCATGCAATTTCCTGCAGATATTGATGGAATGGGACTGTTAACTTATCCTTCATCCTTGTCAACAATGCTGACAGAAATTCGTTCCAGTATTCCACTGCCCTCCTATCATCCGATGAACATTTCTGATAACTTGTTATCTGTGCTGCAAAGGAATTCAGAATGCCCATGGCTCCATGCGAAATGCAAAGTGTTGACAGCTGCCTCATGGAAACTGCAAGTGATCCAAGGTGATTTTCTGCCAGAAGTTGTTGTCAGTTGGTCTCTGCCTTTCTGGAGTTGGATAAGGTCTTAGTAAAATATCAGCAGCGACAGTATCTCTGCCCTTGACACTGGAGTACTCCTTTGTTCATTATTTGTGCCTTTCTGACAGAACATATATGATAGCACTAGTTCATCTTATCGAAAGGCGACAAAACATCCTGGAGAGCACGACTTTGGTGGCGCAGACATTCTGGAGTGCAATGCTCAACTACTTGAGGTATCTTGATCCCCTCAGCGAACAACAGAGACTAGATACGTCTTATCCAAAATGAGGAAATTGAATTTCAGATATTGCTCGACTGAGCTCGCAGGCTATCACTCCTTATCCTTGACAACGTTACAGAATATATGTACCGTCATTGACCCGAGCTAGGAAACCTTCAGCACTGTGATATGATGGTTTGGTGCCATTAGACATGCTATTACCTTTGTCTGGTCAGCCGTGGTTGGAATATAATGGACCATCATACTGTCAGCTTGCTGGTGAAATCTACTATAAAATCATTTGGTACGTAGTATGGTTTTATCTTGAACATCAAATCTTTCACTTATGTTGGCAAGTCATGTTTCCATGGTCTGCTTCTCACTAAGGCCAAGTGATGCTTCTTTATCCAACTTGGCATAAGCTGCAATAATACTGGATCGTCAGATAGTCTTGTCAGTTAATTATACCTTTACAAGAAAGAATGAAGATTGTTCTGTTGGCTTGCGTGCTTCTTTTCTACGCTATGGATGCGAGTCGTAAGAGACTGACAAGTAAGACTTCACTCCAGATCAGAAAGTCTGGCAGAAGTGATATTACAATCAGCAGCCGGTGTTGATATTATAGAATAGTTGACAAGTTTACTGATTCAGTGAAGATATATAGTTGGTGGTTTACAAACGTTGTTACACATGATTAATTGTAAATCATAGCTATAATTTTTGCGGTGCTTATAGCTTTCACAAGAAGAGCTGCATAATAAAATTTCAGTTCCCATCTGGAAACTGGAATACATGAATTTGAACAAGGATCAACATCCTGGACCTGGAGCATACAAAGGGCGTAACGAGGAACATAAATGCTGCCAGTAATTCATGAGATGAGGTATCTCTCTCCAGAAGGTAGTGATTTTGTTTTGTTTTATTCAAGATACTACATCCGTCCTAAAATATAAAAACCTAGGACCAAATAGGATATTTCAGAGTACTATAAATCTGGACAAACAAACAAGCAGATATGTAGTACTAGGAAATGTTCTATTTGGAGCTATCTTCTTAGAGAAGAGATGTAAAGAATAATTATTTGCTCTCACATTTTTTTGTGTGGATACAGATACAAATATATTTTCTTTTTTTTTTGATACAGATACTAATGTACCCTGGATATAAAAATGAAAACAAATAGTATATATGGTCATGAATATTTTTTGGAACATTAAACTTTTTAAACTGTGCCGCCAAATCAACAGAGATAAATAAATTATTTTATGCAAAAGAAAAATGTCAACATTTTCAGCAACTATTGTCACATATATGCACCTGCAAGCTAATACTACTGTCTCGTTTCAAAAATAAAAGAAGATGAGTGGTGAGAAGAAAAACAAAATACCCGCAACGCGCACATGTCTTCACGAATATTAGGGAAGAACCTAATATCAAATAAATAGAATGGGTTAGGCTTTGAACCCAGGCTGGCTAACTCACCATCTTGTGGAGCTAGCCGGAAAACCCCTAGGCGTCTCTCGTCTTAGAAAGAATATGTACTGATTATTTGCGCCCTATAAGCATAATGAAAAGTAAACTTGTTAAATAGCGTCGGTAGTAGATCAGGTAGCAAATTCAGGCCAAAGTTTTGTAATAGGGTAGTAAATTAGCTTTTGAATTTGTTGAAAGTATATCGAGTGAGCGGTGCTGACGAGTTTGTCGTGTGAGCGAGCTCGGCTGGGAGCGGCGGATGGTGGTGGTAGGCAGGCACGGTAGCGCTAGGAAGCGCACCCGAAGACGATAGGGCTACGGGAGTCCGGAGCGGTGAGCGGGCAGTGGCGCGTGAGCAGCGATAGTGGAAGACCGATGGGGGCTGTGGAAGGCCGGCGCGGACGACGCCGTGGTGCGAGCATGACATGGCTGGTGCGCAGCGGTGGTGAGGTTGCCATGGTAGGAGGATGGAGGCGACGGCGATGTGACTACGCGGCTCGTTACGGAGAACACGAGCAACCTGGTCAAGGTGGCGACGGCAGTAGCGCCATGAGGGAGTGTTGAAGCCTGCGGCGAGCCTTTTTCCAGTCGTTTGTCCTTTTGCGGCGATGGCTTACTGCCGGAAGATAGCCACGCTGGATGGGCTAGTGCAGGGGAGAAGGGATCCATTATTCTCTTTCACCCTCTCCTCTCCAACGCAACCACGTGGATTGAGTTGAAGTGTGCCGGAGGTTGTGACTCTACTTTGATGGCTGGCTGGCGGCGAGGCATCGACGAGGTGGCTGCGCGTTGAAGGGGATTAGCTGATGGTTCTGCTGAATCTGACATGCACTCTTCGGTGCGGGAGAGTAGGAACTATGGACGCAAGCCTAGCCTTCGGGCCGGCAACGGTGATGCCTGCGGGCGCCGCTTTCCCCTTGGGGCGTTGCTACATTTTCTCTCCTCTCCCAATAAATTATTCAGGTGAAAATCGAGCCCCTGTCTCTAGGACGGGTGGTGGCGGTGCTTTTAGCGTCGTTTTCCTCCTTAGTGGCATTGTTTAGAATACCCATCCCATAGTAGCGTTGTATGCTTGTTCTGTTTTAGCAATAGGATCAGACGTAGACGCGTGGTGTGTTTGTCTTTTTTTTTTCCTGACTATAGTCTCCAATACGATAGACTTTATTTTTTTCCCTGCTATATCAATAGAAACGTCACCACTATCTCGTGGTTGTTTTTTTAAAAAAAAACATCGTGTGCTTGATTTGGTTGTTGCCGGCGACTCACCTTCTACCGTGTTGTTAATGGAAATATTCTGAATTCCCTCTCTCTAAAAAAATTAAAAAATTCAGGCTAGAGTAAGATAAGCCTACGAGTTAACAACATGAACAATGGGAACAATGGTTTAGAGGGCCGCTGTATGTAGTATTTTCATGTTATACTTAAACATACAGATAACCGTATAATAAGTTATGTACATACTACAATTATAGTGATTTAGTTATATAGAGAGTATAATTGCCACTTTGTCAGATAGATTGGTAATTAACAAACAATAATTTCTCTCCCCACTCTCTCGCCTCCACATAAAAAAACAATTTACGTGGCATATATTCTTCTCTCACATTACTGTTCATATAAGCTTTGACATCACTGATCGTTTGTAGTATATGGGACAAACATGTTTATACGTATATAAATGTTTTCTGTTTTCTATATTGAAAACTTGTTTATTGTAGATTCTAATTGCTGTGCTAAGAACGAAAACTTGGTTAGATCCTGTGTGTAGCATTTCAAATTTCGATTAAAACTAACGGGGAATGCAAAATTAGATAGCGGGCGTAATTTTCCCAAACAACCATGAGTTATATAGGCCGCATATGAAAATTAACTCATTATTGAAGAAGGACCTCTTAATGCGGCCACCTGCGATAATCTATCTTCGTAGGCAGCTACGTTAAGAGGCCCGCCTACGATAATGGGTCTACTCATGCGGTTAGGCCGGCTACTGCGCTGTTTCCACATACACTTGTATGTAGGCAGGCTATTCGACCCCTTGCGAAGATCGTTTTTGGTTGTATGAAAAAAAAATCCTGTTTTAGTAGTGCGTCAAACTCCTGATAATCCATATCCACATTTTTTTTCTAGATAATATTGTTGTTGCATCCATACTCGGTTAAAAAATAAATGACTACTTTCTCTGTTTCAGATTATAAGATGTTTTGACCTTGGTTAAAGTCAAACTGCTTTAAGTTTAACTAACTTTATATGAAAAAATAGTAATATTTTCGACCAAAGATAAATTTATTATAAAAATATATTTAATTATTAATTTAATAAAACTAATTTGGTAATATAAATATTACTATATTTGTCTGTAAACTTAGTTAAATTTGAAGGAGTTTGACTTTGACCAAAATCAAAACATCTTGTAACCTGAAACGGAAGGAGTAATTAAGTTCATTTCCAGGTGAATATAATTCGTATCCGTAAACTGTCCAAATCAAGCATCCACACACCAATTTTATCCCTTTGATGATCTGAAAGTGGCGAAGCATATTTTAGGGCGCCCCAAATAAACTGATATCATCACGCTGCATGAAGCCATGAATCATGTGTGGCATACTAGTATCCACCTGTGCTGTATCGTATGCACAAATAAAGAAACAATATATACACTTAACTATCACTCAATTAAATTGATCAAATAACTCCGAAGTAAAAAAAAAAGGTTAAATCAGTACAGGAAAGCAATCGATTAATAGCTCGATGCTGATCACACGAACCATATATACCTACAAATCAACAACAAACCAGCTGAAGATACATTGAGAAAGTTCAACTAATTTGTGGCCGTACACAAATAGAGCTCTAATTAATTAAACTTACTTGGCTATGAATATCCTTTTTCTTCTAATAATTAATCTTATATCCACCACACATTATTCAGTAATTAATAATAATAAACAATGAACACCAATAATATATAATAAATTCATCGGTATAAGCAGCTTCTATAGGGTGGCGTCCAGTAGTCCGGGCCATTGTTATCTCTGTACACTTGAGGGGTGCAGGAGACAGGCACCAAGCACAGCCCTCTACTTCTCAAGTCAACCTCTGCATCTGCCTTCTCCTTCCTATCCAACCCTCCCCATGCATTGTAATCCTGAAATATATATATAAATCATCAACAATGTATTGGATGATAATCTAATTAATTATGTGTCTTAGTGGTGTGTTATCCTTTGAACAATATAATGGAGGCACTCCTTATTTGGGATATATATATGGAATGGTGACTATAGCTTAGTCTCTAATTGGGCCATTTGATTGGTGTAAGAATAGATTATGCATGCATGGCTCTGATGTACAATTTGAATGCAGAAATTGCATTCTTTTTAAGACGGAGTGAGCGTATGTAGAATTTGACCCTTAGTGTGATCAAAATTCTATAGCTAGCTAGAAATTAAGTTTGATGGACATATTCGACGTGGACATATACATGTATTTAAATTAAAATTATATGTTGGTGGAGGAGTGCACAATTAAGAAGGTTTGTAGCTTACCTTGCTACTACTCGACTTCATGTATGGGTCACTCAACAACTGCAACAATTAAGCATGAAATAAGGAGTCAAATTAAATTGTATATAGTTGGTCGCACAAACTGATTCTTAGAAACTTTTCCATGTTGCATATAATGAATAACTAACTGATAGAGCCGAACTGCAAAAAGGGTGTGTGTAACGGGGCCATGACAAAGAATTCCATTACACAAAAGCAGCAGCACTAGTAACACTCATGTTGTGCAAAATACGAACAAAAGGAAGGCTATCCTGGGCCCTCTAGGAAGGGTATGAGCTGAGCTAGGCTTTGCAGGTTCGACACGTGTCTCCCAATAATTGGTGGTGCAGCAATTCATCTTATATAATCTTAATTAGATGCGGCTTTTCCAATGGAAATATCAAATATATATGGGGCCTTTCTTAAAAACATCCTTTTTGACAAAGCAATAATTGCATTCATTATATTACACAAGTCATAAAAAGGTTGTGTAAAGTTCTCCATTACCAAATTAAAATGTAGGCAATGACACAAAGCTAAGCCCATACTTTCTTTCTTCTCGTAACATAAAAAGGGGAAACACAGCTATTGATCTAATCCACATTCTTTACAGTATATTCCATAGCTAGGAATTTCTAAAAACAAAAAAAGAAAAGTATTTTCTGGTAAATTTTGGCTTTTGGCCTTTGAGTCTTAAAAGTCGATTTTTCACCGGCCCTAAAATGATACCTATTGTTTTCACCATCGACTTTAAAACCCAAACAAATAACGCATTATAGTACTAGCTAGACCCTATTGACATGCATTGCTTCTTCTTCTTCTTCTTTTTGACATGATGGTAGTTTTTGCTAGTGCAAATTCCTACTATATATGTTTTCTTGACGTGGATGTCACTTAGTTAGGTTTACATCAACATAACTTACCTATAATAGGAGTTCGTGTTACCAAAAACTATCGTCATATCAATCAAAACCACCATGAAACAAGTTTTGAGGTGTTATTTGCCTGGTTTTGAAAGTTAACCGTGAGCAATAATTGGCTTTTATGTATAAGGGATAATTGGACTCCAAGAGGAGTTTGAGAGCCAAAAGTTGACTTTACCCTTTTCTTTTGACAATCATGAGCGGTTATTTCTAAATATTTACAATTATGTTTGAGGACTGACCTAAAAAGTGACCACATGTATATATTGCATTTGAGAAGAAATAAAAATAGAAAAAAATTTCTGCAATTTACCTGCACTTGTTCATGCAACCACTTAATGTAATTTATCGCCTCATATAGCACCGATGCTGTGTCAGTCTGAAACAGATCATAAATAGCAAACTTCACTATAAAGAAATTGATTTCACAAACATAAAAATATAAATGTTATAGGTCACCTAAAAAAGTAAATTTTAGGTTCCTCAGATGGGATCCATATTTGAGGTAACTTATGTATAATCTGTAAGTTTAACTGAACACATAAAAAACAGACAAGAATTTGTAATGAATTGATATAATTTTTCTTAAATTGTACGTATGTCAACAGATCATTAAATATTGTACAGGAGTGAGTAATTCCCCCCCCCCTCTCTTCAAACTTATTGCATCAGTATAGGAATAATTAGTATAAATTTGTAAAATTTTGCATCATTTGACCACATTTTAGTTTATACGTAAAAATTACCACAAAAACAACGAATTGTACATATTGGAATCGGACTTTACCTTTCCAAATGGTGAGACTATCTGTTGCAGTGCAGTGATCTTGTCCCCTAACTTTACTTTTGGTACCTGCGACTGTTAAACCAAGCAGCATCAGCAATCCTAAAAGATAGATATATAAAAGCTATATAAAAAGCACCTTATGTACTGCTGCACTGCTGTACGTAGAGATAATTGCTTACACATGTATATTTACAATACAGGCTAATTTTTCAGTAAGGATGTATATAATGTATAATGCATGAGTGTCATTGCGAGGAGATTTGACAACCGTTAATTATTTTCTTCTAAGTAAGCTGTTCATCTGTTCGTTGGGCATTATACAAAGAGAGTATACAAAAACTGTCGCAAGTTTTCTGAGATGTAATAGTATAATTGAAGTGCACTGTAACTACAATGTAATTGTAATTATAATTACACTATAACTGCACCATAATTATGATATAACTTATATAAAACCTATATTCAACTATGGTTTGGCTGGTTAGCATTAGGATCTTGCGGGTGACATGTCTGAAATTTTTTTTCTAGCAGTTTTTTTTCCTTCATGCACAAACCTCAAAGCGATCTGATGGTCACAAGTATATATATGAAAGTTTTGGGGACAAAAAACTTGCAAAAGTTTTCTAGGAATACTGTTATACAAATAAAGGCCTGCAGCATGCTGGCATGGTATGAGCTACTAGGTAACAATGTCGATGAGCTTGCACTACTACGAAAACATGCAACACTCCGATTTCTCAGGATAATACCCTCCTCAAAACATGGGATTTCTTTTCCAGATTTCTATGGAAATTCTGATACATGTAAAATTTATGTTCTTGACGATGCCTTAATGTCTTTTTTTTTCAAAAAGAAAAGTCCTACAGGATAGTACTATTAGATGATGGATAATTGATCGATGGAAACATCATATTTATATTTATTTTAGGTCAAATAATTTGTAGAGTTCACTTTGTTAATCACTGCACATTAATTTGTTCTGGCAGAAATTAAATTAATTAAACCCCATCATCTGACCTGCGTATATTGCATATATGACTGATCAATTATAATGATCAACTTGCAATTTGCTCATGCACGTGAAGGACAACCAGTGCAACATGCGTAAGAGCTAGGAACAAATTGTGCTACCCTGTTTTCATATATGTTACTGTTGATCATTCATCTTAAAAAAAATTTGCGCAAGTATTATTTATTTGGTTATAATATATTACTTGTTTTTATAATTGAAGAATTTTAAGAATGATTAATATTTTACACACATTCATACTAAATGATGGGGGCATACTTTGAGAGAAGAGGTGGGAGAGGTGGCCTCATGCTTGGACTTCTTCGTGCTCCCCTCCGACCCTGCCGCCTCCTCCGACCTCTTCTTCTTCCCCTCCTTCCCGCCACCGCCGCTGCTGCTCGTCTTCACCTGCGTGTGAATGCAACACGTATATGATCAGATCATCAGTGCGTGCATCGCTCGATCACTGGCGATGAACCATATATATTACTCCCTTCGTGTCACCGAATTTTTTATACCGTTTAACTATTCGTCTTATTAAAAATATTATGTAAATATTATTTATTTTGGTATGATTTTCTTTTATTAATGTAACTATAACTTAACTTAAATTTTATATATTTGTACTAAATTTTTAATAAGATCAATAATGCAAACGTTATATGGAAAGTTGACGGCGTAATACATTTTGGATAGAAATATTATGTATATATACATTACGTACTGGGGACGAGATCTCCTGCTGCCCTTGCTGCTTCTTGTAGTCCGCCGACGACGTCCTCGCCGGCGCTGACGACGGTGGCGGCGGCGGCGGCTTGTCCATCGCGCCTCCGCCGAACGATATCAGGTCCGACAGGCTCCTCGCCGCGCCGGCATTGCTGCTCCCCCACGGCACGTCCATGGTGGCCGTGCCGCCGCCGCCGTACATCCTGCTGCTCAGCCCTAGCATGGAGCTGTACGACGACGACCCGGCGGCAAGCCCCATCGGCCTCAGGAAGTCCTGCCCGCCGCCGCCGGTGCCCGTGCTGCTGCTGCTCTCCTGCTGCAGCATCGCGCCGCCGCCGCCCCCGCCGCTGTCAAGGAAGCTGCTGCCGGACTGCTTCACGTTCCCGCCGCCGTGGGCTGCTGCCATGGCCGCGGCCACCGCTGGGTTATCGCATGCGGCGGCGCCGCCGACGTGGTGGCCGTGGTTGGGCGGCGCGATGGACCAGTTGCTGACCAGGTCGGAGAGGTTGGCCGTGAGCCGCTCCGGCGCGCCCGCGGCGTGGTGGTGGTGCGCCAGCGCGCCGCCGTAACCAGCGGCGGCGGCGGAGCTCAGGTGCTTCTCCAGCGCGGCCGCCGCCGTGAACTGGTGCTCCGGCCAGCCTCCCCCTCCTCCGCCGCCGCCGCCGCCGTACTCCATCTTCTTGAGGTAGTCGCACGCCGGCGGCTCGGCGAAGAGCTCCGGCGCGAGCGTCCTCGAGTTGAGCAGCTCGAGGAAGTTCTCGCTGTCGTCGTGGGCGTCGTGCACCGCCGGCATGCTCCTCCCGACCTCGCCGCCGGCGGCGCCCCTGGCCATCATCGAACAGATGAGCTATATATGAGCTGAAGTGAACAAGCTAGCTAGCCATCGAGTTGCACATATATATAATTGCATATTATTATGCTTGCTAATGATAATCCATTGCATCATTAGGCAATCGATTAAAGTATCTGGTTAGCTAGCTAGTACTACATGTGGAGAATGTAAAGAGAGGGATCATCTTTGGGAATTGGGATTAAAGTACTTGCAAGTTATATGGAGACATGGATGCTGTTGATATGGTTCCACTTTTTTTGGGATCCGTACCAAACAAATCCTTGCAATTAGTAGTTGCTTGCTTCTGCACTTAATTATTTATCTCTAATCAGCCTACTAGTTTGGCATTGCTAAGCTAGAGTACCTAGAGGTTTGTTCTACCAAATTAAAGCCTAGATAGCTAGGCACGAATTTAATTAACCATGCAAGCATGCATATATTACACCATGGAATTTACTTTGTTTAGTTCTTTAATGGGGAAATCTTATCCCATGCAAGAAATCTCACATATGCTAATTCCAATTCCAAAGAACCTATCTATCTAGCTAGGAAAAAATCTATCAGAGAAAGAGAGAGATAATTAGAGAACCTTATAGCCAAAGAATCATAATAGATGCCTAGACACACATGTAAGCCTCCCCTATATCACACACTATTTGAAAAGCTCCTTTCTTTGGCTTGGCTTTGCTTTGCTTTGCTTTAGCTCTCTCTCTCTCTCTCTCTCTCTATCTCTCTAGTACTAGAAACTAGCTATCTTGCTTGGTTGGCTATACTATATATTCACTTCTAATATACTTGCACATATTCTTGTTCCATTTTTAATTCATTTTTTATTAGCCTAGCTAGCTGGGAATTAAGCAGGGTTATTAGGGATTGATGTCAGTAGCTAGCTAGCTTAGCTAGAGAGAGATGCATGCACAAATTTATTCTTTAAATTAATTAGAATCTAGGCAAAGTGAGGGCGCTTTGGACGCATTGGGACAAAGGGTAGTGGACGCATGCCTTCTTTTCACGCCCTCTTCGAATATGCAAATTTATATACTTACATGTAATTAATTGTTTTATATGATATATATGCAAATAAACATCTATATACGTGTACTCTACTCACATGAGTACTTGGTTCCAGATGAGGTGGCTCTCGGCGGCGGCTGCGGCGGCGGCGGCGGCGGCCTCGCCGGAGGAGTCCATGCTGAGGCCGGAGTGGTTGGTGGTGGAGGTGTTGGTGAAGGAGGTGATGGTGGCGTTGGACGCCGACAGGTCGTCCTCGGCGCCAGACGACGACGTCCGGTGGTGGTGGTGTTGGTGCGCCGCCGCCATCGTCGGAGGCCACCGCGGCGCCGTGGCCGATGGCGGTGGCAGCCAGCTTGGCGCCGACGCGGCGCCGTACGGGTGGTGCATGTCGCGCCACCAGGAGGCCGCGGCGGCGGCGGAGGAGGAGGAGGAGGAAGGGGGCGGCGGCGCCGGTGGCGAGCTGGCGACGGAGGCCTCGGAGCCCTCCTGCGCCATGCACTGCATGCGCGTGGTGGTGGCTGGCCGAAGGAGGAGGATCGAGAAGGAGAAATGGAGGAGGGAGAAGTAAATTAAGGAGAGAGGGATAGGAGTTTGTGGGTGTGAGGGGGGCTTTTAAAAGGAGGGGGGATGGATGGGTACGTGAGGGTGATGTCACCAAATGGTTTACTGTGGAATTTGTCCTTGTCTGTCCTCATCATCTTTTAATTGAATAAATTAATTCATCTGTAGACATCTCAAGCTTTAACTAGTTTTCATCTTCAGGTTGGGGCTGGCTGGGGTTATGTAATTAACCAGCGATATGTACTGTGTGTGTATGCTTAGTGAGGAAGTATATATGTACTGTGTGAGAGTGAATGCAGTGGTAGTGTACTGGACTCCCTCCGTCCCATAATATAAGGGATTTTAAGTTTTTCTTACAATATTTGACCACTCATTTTATTCAAAAAATTTATGCAAATATAAAAAATAAAAAGTTATGTTTAAAGTATTTTAGATAATAAAGTAAGTAAAAGAAATAAATAATAATTCCTAAATTTTTTTGAATAAGACAAGTGGTCAAACAGTGCAAGCAAAAACGTAAAATACCTTATATTATAGGACGGAGGGATTACTACTATTGCTACTTAATTACTGCATGCCTTATTGACATCTATTTACTGCATGAAAATTTGGTAGGAGTTCAGTCGTCTGTTTATCGTAAGTCCGGTTAAAATGAAGGCTGTTATGTGACCAGCTATAGAAGGCTAGGCATATCAGCGGCGGAGCCATAATTTTTTTAAACCGGACTCAATTAGTTGAATTTATATAGTTTTTTCCTTTATTTTCTAATCAATGAATATTTAGGATCAGGAGTAGGGCTTGCAACCCTAGCTGCCCTACTCCTATCTCTCTGCCCCTGGACATATGCCTGGCCAAAATTAATCATACTAGTAACCCCATTGTTTTGCTTACTCATATGCTTATCCAAATAACTTATTAAAAAAATATTTTGTAAGTAAAACATTTATATATGTGCCCTTAGTGACTCGATCAAAGGCAAATGATGTAATATAAACTACGATGAAAAAAAACCCAAAAACTCAAATTCAAAACTAAGTTTTAAAATTCAAAATTTAGCTTATAAGTATAAGTATAAGAAAAACAGTGAGATCATCGGAAATGCTAGTGGCCCTCACACGGTATCTCCTCCACTCCTCCACATGCGCTTTGGCACACTGCTCGTCACCGTCTATGGCCATATCCCCGTCCACCGAGCACACATCACCGCTAGAAGCCTCCTCTTTCTCTTGGTTTGATGATGGACTTTGCCACGGCAGAGGAGCTCGTCGGCTTGGTGGTGGAGGAGCTCGTCCAGGAGGTTGTTGACCTTGGCGGTCAGTGGCGGAGCTATGATAAAATTATAGTAGGGGCTCCTCAGCCTTTTGGACCTTATAACAATCTCGGACAAAGTCTATTTTAGCCTCTTTGTAATAGATATATGGATTTAATTTTAGGGGGGGGTCTTAATGGGGCCTCTAATGGTTCATTAGGGGGTAGGAGGTCTAAAGACCTGTAGCCCCCACGCTACCTCCGCCACTGTCGGCGGTGGAGGGGCTCATATAGGGGGTCATTGGCCTTGGCGATGGAGGATCTTGTCTACGATGTCTGGCTGTCGGAACCCCTACTGCTTGACTCTATCAGCGATGGGCTAGATACAGAGAAGCGTGGCTACAACAACCTATATATAGCACAGCGGTGCTGGGGCACGAGGCGCCATGACCCGTACTGTCAAAGATCTTGTCCTTATTCAAATGTCTCATCGTCTATGCCAATAAGTTTTTTTTTTCTTGGATCTAGCTTCACACTAAATATGTATTAGCCTGATACAAAGAGGATATCATGCCTACTACCAAGGGTAGCATGCTTGGTATCACATGAACTAACCTTAAACCTAATATTGGAATTGAGATCCAGTGTAGTTGCTATTGCGACGGCACAATAGCAACTGCACACAATCTCAACCCTCTATTTATTGATCCAATAATCTAAATTGTGAGCTACAGTAAAATTAGAGCCGTACATTTTATTAAAAAACGCTACAGTGCTACAGTGCTATCTGGGCCATCTGTTTTAAATCCAATGATGCTCTTATGACCGCTTAACTTGCAGTCACAGTGGCCACTGCACTGGAACCGAATCCCTAATATTGGGGTTATCAAGACTGAACCATGTAGGAACCAACTGATATCTATGTAGTATCTAACATGTACTTGGTACCTATATAATATTTTGCTATTTTGGAACAGGATCCAATACACTATCTTTCATAATAGGATCCAATACAATATCATCCCCCAAAAATTACATGAAAAATTTTAGTGCATATATGCATCTGAGTATATATTCAGTGGTGCCTTTAAAACTATAAAAATATTTAGTTTGAAAATGTAAAAATTCATATGGTTAGATCAATTTTTCTTTATATATAGTAGTTTTACAATATTATAATTTTGTTATATATTGTTATTAATAGCGTCAACAATGTTATGCATTTAAATACAGATTGAGTATATATTATGTGTTTTAAGTAGTGAGACGACTTTTAACTACAGATATTTGAAATTAATGCATGATAATATAAATGTGGTGTGTGATTGACAGAAGAAAAGACAAATTAAAGGCAAAGCTGCAATGTGCCATGGATCACCTTTCGATCAGATGGCTGTTTTATCATCGGATTCTCTCTCACATCTGACCCTACCGCTCATGCATGCATCATACACATATATATCAGCCGTTACAATTTGTTGCGCCTGAGATCCTGGAGATTTGTGGCATCATTGCAAGCGCACGGTGCAACGCACACGCATGCATGAGCATATATAAACAACGCGCTAGCGCTCTAGCTCAGGGTGTTGTTTACCTTGTCAAGAGGAAGATCAAAGTAGGGCTTAGGATTAACTTATTCTCTCATGTCAATTGAGGTTAGAGAGAGAGAGGGGGAGAGCATGCGCGCTACTAAAGATATGCTACCTCCACCCATTTTTAATATATGACGTCGTTAACTTTTTGACAAACGTTTAACCATTCATCTTTCATCTTGCTCAAATTATTTTTTTTACAAATATAAAAAACAAGTCATACTTAAAGAGCATTGGATGATAAATCAAATCATAATAAAATAAATGATAATTACATATAACTTTTTGAATAAAATAAATGGTCAAATCTATTTAAAAAAATAAACTACTCCATATATTAAGAGGGAGTATAAGTCAAGATACGAAGGCAATGCTAGTTATATTTTTAAATTTAATTGATAAGATAATAGGAGCGGATGTAGGCCAGTAATCTTGATGTTACATGAAAAAAACAAATGCCATTTTGAGAATAAGGAAAACATGGATTATAATTTCCTTATTTTCTTTTGTAGTTTTATTTTTTTAGGTAAACTATATATACCATTCCAGTTCAAAAGTGAATTTCTCGATTATTTGCATCTGTCAGAACATTTCAAGTCCTTCACCATTGATGTGTTATAATCAATGAAATTGCACACAAGATAGATACCTAAACATGCAAAATCAGTCTAAAGTAATTCTTTCTTTAATTTTAAATAATTAAGAGAATGCCATTTTACACCTAGACCAGCCTCTGCACGAAGTACACACACAACCAAAACAAAATCTATACTCCTTTAAAAAAGACTAATTGTGATGGCAATGAATGTGTCGTCTCACCTAAATTAATATAACAGCTAAATCTAAATCACTAGTGGAGAAACCATCTTTGCCCGGTCGACCAAAAACTACAATAGTCTCGGATGCAGTAAAAACCGGGACTAAAGATGGTTTTTAGTCCCGGTTTATAAGTGGAATGAGACTACGTGATCTGTAGTCCCGGTTCACATGCTGTCAGGTGTTGTCAGGCCCCTCCAGCATCTTTAGTTGCGGTTGGAGTTACGAACTGGGAGTAAAGATCGGATCTTTAATCCCGGTTCGTAACACCAACCGGGACTAAAGATCACGTGATTTTTAGTCCCGGTTGGTGTTATGAACCGGGATTAAAGATCAAAGCGTACTATATAATCCCTATTACTTATTCTCTTTTCTCATCCACTCTTTTCTCATCCACACCCACTCCTCTCTCCCTCCATGTCTAATCTTATCTCTTCCCTTCCTCCTTATCTCTTTTTCTTCTTATCCCTTCCCAACTCCCCTTCCAACTCGATCCAGTGTGCGCAGCAGGAGGGGGTGGGCGGCCCGGCCGGTGGAGGGCAACGCGGCGGCGGCCAGGGAGGAGGGGAGGCGGCAGCCGGCTCAGCTGGCCGGCGGCTTTGCTTCGTTTCTTTTTCTTTTTTTTTTCAAAGAATTTGTGATCCACGTGTAGATTGAGATGAAGAATCTATGGTTCATTGTATGGATTGAGATGTATAATTTTTTTTTGGAATCTCATTGTATGGATCTGAGATGTACATGATTTGTGTATGATTTGTATATTTGGGATGTTTCTTTGATTTGGGGTTTGATTTGGGATGTATAATCTGTAGTGTATATGATTGATTTGTGTATTTGGGATGGTACGCATCTCACCTAATTTGGGAGAAAATAAATTAGAGATTAAATAGTAAGTAAATGAAAAAAAAAACTATTGCCCACTCCCATCTTTAGTCCCAGTTGGTAACACCAACCGGGACTAAAGATAGGGATCTTTAGTCCTGGATTCGTAGTTCCGGTGTGAAAACCGGGACTATAGGGGGTTACGAATCAGGACTAAAAACGATTTCTCCACTAGTGAATGGATAGCTTATATATATAATTAAACTAAGGTAAGTATTCTCTATAGTAAAAATGTGGCCAACATATTTCCTGAAAAATATGCTTTCATTTATTTTAGACAATATTATGATTTTTTCCCTTTTTACCCGTAGTAAAGTACATGTATTTAGCTAGTAAAACAAAAAAAGACAAAGGCATGGCGCACATGCCCACAGACCCTAGGGCGAGAAAAGAACTAATCCTAAGTAAAAGGACAACATAAAGGCCACCAAAATCTGAAAAATACTTTGTTAATATAGTACAGTTCTATAAATCTTGCTTACCATGCATGAAATGGCGAAGATTAATTGCAAAATACAATTTCAATTTGGAGGTCCAGAAGCCAAGTCAAAATCAACATTTTTTTGGACTAAGCAAGGAAATACTCCAAGTATTGTCCTTATCATGTACTATACACATATAACTTTTTTTAACAAAGAAAGCACCCCCAGAATCTTGAAATTGTCGGCATACGACCTTTAGTCTTACTTCTCGCAGTCGCACATACCACACGCACACATACAAGGATAAAGGAAGGAACATTATTGCAACTACAAGAGAAATCACCATTGATTCTGCCCTCCTTGGTGGTGTCCTTCCAGCTGTACATGCTTCTCATGATCGATCATGGGAATTTCTGTTGAGGGAAGCCATGCCAACCAAATTAACCAGGACACAATCTTTTAACGATTCCATGCCACAACTAATTTGTTACATGCATGCATGCACCCTATGTTACAGCAGAAAAAGGGACTAAAACCTAAGTAACAGAACACAAACAAAGCTGTGCTACATGCCAAGTTTAGAGTCGTGTGATGCATTTCAGGCAAAAACAAAGTTCTCTGCAATTGATCACAAGTTGGTCATGGAGCCAATCATAGCCAGAATGAGAGTTAACTTTGGTCCACCCATGTAAATATCTCCTTCAGCAGCTAGTCAGCATATCTATCTTTTTCAGTTTCCCTTTAGCATGTCAAAACAAAACAATTAGTGGTGGTCCACATCACAAGGCATGATAGGCATTTGGATTTGGATTTACTCCGATTTCGGAAGTGCTTTTATTTGAAATTTTTGAATCTTTACCTAAGTTTTTGACCTACCTCTCTGTCGTTGGGCTCAACTCATATGTAGTGGAATCCGAAAGGCGCAGTGGAAAAAAGAAAGGTAAGTGAGCTGAAGCATGCTAGCTTGTTGTGGTAGTGGCTCAAGTGGAGACTTCAACCTTAGCAAGATTTTTTCAACATTGCCATCTATTGCTTGTCATCATGCTCTCCAATAATTTCAGACGCGTTTTCGAGTAAGCCTTGTAAAGCCCCACATCCTCCTTCCCCTCGCGCATTTGTTTGTCGCCCGCTTACATCGGTTTAGTTCTCCAAAATTTTTTCCCCAAAACATCACATCGAATCTTTAAACACATGCATAGAGTATTACATATAGATTAAAAAAACTAATTGCACAGTTAAGGGGGAAATCGTTAGACGAATCTTTTGAGTCTAATTAGTCCATGATTAGCCATAAGTGCTACAGTAACCCACCTGTGCTAATGACGGATTAATTAGGCTCAAAAGATTCGTCTCGTGGTTTCCAGGCGAGTTATGAAATTAGTTTTTTTCATTCGTGCCCGAAAACCCCTTCCGATATCCGGTCAAACATCCGATGTGACACAAAAAATTTTCTTTTCGTGAACTAAATAGGCCCTTAGTGTGTCAACTCAGATATAATCCGTACTCCAACCAGCCAAAATTCTAAAGTAAATAGCGACTGTAGTCTCGCTACATACATATATGTTCTTTAAAAAAAGTATTGACATTATAAAAGCACCTAGCTAGTTTTACTATAGCTAGGTAAAAGGTTGCAACGAGGCATCTTATATGTCAACTCTTTACGGTTTTCCTTTCCTAAACTTAGTTTAAGAATCAATTTTTATTTATTACAAATTTGATTTATAAGCAATATTACTTCCAAAAGTATATATTTTGTGCATGTGTTAATTCCATATCCACAATTTCTTTAGAAGCTAGCACACACTCTCTGACTCTCAGTCTTGAACGATCGAGGAGGTTGGTGTGGTT